ATCATTGCACGGATACGTAATTTTGCTTACATTGCGAATGTCTTCGTAATAGTACGGATTTAAATTTAGAAATTGACGATCACTGAGCGTTACGCACATACGACGTTTGTTTTATTATTGCAATAAGAGAGATTCCACGATTCCTACGAGTTATTCGTCACGGTTATAATTTTAACTTTAACTATGCGTCTCATTCACTACAAGAGCTTTTGCATCGATTGGGGAATCTCTGCTAAGCTATTCTGTAAATTCATTTTATAATATTTATTTTCTGAACAGAGAAAGAGAGAATGCTATATGAATTTTATTAATAGCATATGCATTATTTTTGTTATATATTTAAAAATTTCAAAACAATTTAAAATATAAAGTTATAAAAAAATAGAAATTTTTTAACAATGACACGTCTAAAGACGACGCAGTTTTTTATTGCATCAATAATTATACAAAGAGAATATAGTTTGTTCTACATCACCCCATACACAATGAAGCGAAATGTGGGTGCTGTGAAACATGAATATCTAAATTTGAAGCGAGACTGAAACGAATAGAATGAGAATTAGGTCAAACGTTGGGATCGTAAGTTGTAACCTTAATATGTGTGCCGGCTATTATTTACACGTGAAAGAGGCCGAGGAGATGTTGAACACGCGGGTCAAACACAGCATTTAATCTTTTTATTATAGATAAGAAAATATGAAAGTCTTCAGTCATTAATTATGTCGAACATCATAATAATCGCGTTGCGTTTTTATCAGAATAACAGATAAAAATAATGTATGTAAAATTTAGTTACGCGATTTAATGGTTGAATATATATTTTGCAATATTAAATTTATTCTTTGTATATTTTATGTATATAAATTGTGATATTAATCGTATTCAAATAGAGAATAAATAATTTAATAAATTTAAAATGTTTAATTAATTTCTAGGAAAATAATTGGCTTTCATATATTTCGAATTTTCTAACTTTAAAGACTAAAAAAAGCCTTGCCTATTGCTTTTTAAATTATCGTACATCTGATTTTCAAGTCGCGTCTCGCTCGCTGTTTCAACGAGATTTCCTGTAGTCACGCGACGGAGATTAAATCTACCATAAAAACGGAAAAAGTCGAGTAAACGGCCTCTCACCAAAATTTTACACGCCTAATAATTGCTTGGAGTGCAACAAAACCAGACATTGCACATTTTTGAGCACATTCCTGCGCGCAATATGCTCGAGAAAATTGCGCCAAATTATCATCGTCGAATCGGAAAATAAATGCGAGTGGAATTCTAATTTTAACTCTTGACGAGGCGAGCTTTTCGAGAAACTACAGCTCGCGTACGATGCAGTCGTAATTGAACTTTCAGTGTAATAATGCTTTCGACTGTCCAAACGTGATAACTCCCTGACGTAAATGGAGAAGATACGCGCCAAAACAGTCCCTCATTCCGTCTCAATATTATCCAATACGTATACATTACATCAATTATTAAATATAATAATCTATATTTCGTAACTCGCATACCTATCTTATTTAAAGAAAATAAAATTTTTATGTAGAAAGAAGGATCAAAATATCGAAAAGTATGGCTTTAAACTCCCCTAAGAATCTACCTCTAACAATAAGTATCACTCGATAGATTTGAAACATCTTGCATAATCGAGATAATACAGTCGCATCCGACATTCAAAAGGAAGAAAAAAAAAAGATTGAATTAATAATCGTATGACGCGCTCATCGTGAACATCTCTGGGGATAACCAGCGTGACCACCTGCATGTGCATCAGTCAAACGGGTCTTAACCTCTGGGTGCATCCAAGCAGCTCGGAGACGCACATAGCCGACACATGTGTCACCGTGAAAATCGCATCCTGGGTGTCGGCACTGTTCTCATCGCTCTGGCCGTGGCCGAATTGAAAATAAATACGATCCTCCTCCTCGTCCGTCGGTGGCCTGCGTATCGCCGGGCCGACATGAACGCGGCAACGAAAATAGCGCTGCATTTAGCGCACCCGGTACATGTGTGCTAGGAGGCCACGCGCGAATGACCGACGAGGTGCCAAAAACGTAAAGATCACCTTTCTTCCGTCCTTGTTAGTACATTCGCGTCGAGCAATATCCCTTAAGCCTTTCGCACATCAAGGAAGCGCGATTGCACTTCTGGAATGTCACGGTTGCATAGCTGAAGCCGGATCAAGAACAGCGTATATAAATACAATAAGCGCGCGCACGCGTTTCTCTTTCATATTTTTATCATAATACTACATTCGAATAAGTGTATCTTCCTGCACGATGAGTTTTAATTTGTCCTATAATTTTATTTTTGCTCTTATTTTATAATTGGACGCAGTTATGCAATTGATGGAATTAATAACAATTTTTTCGATTTCGAGATTTTTATTGCAAATTATACCTGATACATTCAGGCATAATTTACAATTGAAATCTTGAAATAAAAAATTAGTAATTGGTTTCATACTGCATAATTACATCCAATTTTTATGTTAGTCATATTTTTAATGATAAAGTAACAAGTCCTTATTTTAATTTCTGTATCAGTGCTTGCTTTAATATAATTATCATAAAATATCAATTTTAAGAAATAAATCAACATAATGTATCATATTTACATTTCAATTATCGGAGTTTGTTAGCATAATAAGCAATTTTCTATATTTATATGCCATATTTCGTAATGACTCGAAAAGTTTATACACATATGTCACGCGAATGTACGTGTGCATTATTTATACATTTAAAAAGATTAATTTTTATGATTTTTAATATCATCTTTTTTGAATTTTTTTTTTTTGACGACGGTATTTTCCTTGAATGACGTAGGTTTTAAAGATCAATTGACGTCATGTGGCTCTGTTGTAAACACAGATATTTACGCCGAGTCGAGTGGGAATCAATTATTCACTTTCTCAACTTGGAGCCTCGATAAATCCTCAGTGACCGACAAACACACTGATTTGATCACATACGTCTTAACATTAATTTTCATTTGTCATATGCATGTAATTTTTTAAAACAACTTAACAATGTAAAATACAATCGAATTAAATATGTTTCTGATTTATTCGTCAACATTGTTTTTAACTGTTTTTATCTTCACGAAAAGAATGAGATTTCCTAAATTTACCCTAATTAAGCTCTAAATTTATGTGTAAATACCGTCATTTTTTATATTTTTTATTCAAGACGCAGTTTTCAAGATATTCATAAATAATAAACATTATATTAAGTTATGCGATATTATTTGCCTAACAAGAGAATATAGCCTTCACTCAAAGATTTACACGTCACATATCTACTGCCAATGTCAATTTGGCCTAACATTATCTTTCGTCACCAGCCAGGTAGCACATGATGTTTAGTATTTACGTCACTCGTCGTACGCAAATCACAATTATTACATATGTTAACATCCGGTCGAAAGTGAAAATTTATTTTTAATAAAATATATAGTATTACTGTATATAAAATATACAGTATTACGAAACTTTCTCTCTCTCCCTCTCTCTTTCTCTTTCTCTGTCTGTCTCTCATACTCTTCAAGGTTCAAGGGGAGCAAAAATATATCAAGGGCGCTCATTGACAGGGAAACGTAAACGTTTTGCGTCGCAAGAACGGGATTGAGCAAGCCAACACCTTTTTTAGAATCGTATCCACGCGCGCGTGTCGCGTTGAATCACACGTATATATTTAAAAAAAAAAAAAGAAAGAAAAACAAGAAAAGATATACTTATGCCCGCGTATATTTAGAGTTAGCGTGAATTGCGGCCAATTGCAGTGCGTGATTCACTTTCGTAAATCGATGGCACTGACTTTCACGACTCTGGCGAGTATCGAATAGTAACAGTTTTTACTATTTCGCGGGAAAATATAAACGGCTAATTTCAAGCGCAATATAGGGGTTGATTTACGATCGCGCCATTACGGAAATTAAGAAACGACGCCCCCGCTCTTTTGTGTACTTCACGCAATACGTACATAAATAGAGCACGTGCATAGTACAACGACGCATCTGCATTACGGTGCTGCAACTCTTCTCTCGCATTATAGACTGACTCATTGCTTAGCGGAACAGAAATAAGCATCGATTTATATCACGGATGAAATACGCGCGGACGATGAAAGTTGAGCTAAATGAGGAGTAAAGAGAAGAAAAAATTATATTGTCGATCAATATCTGTCATATCAAAAATACAATGTGTATATATTTGATCTTTAAAATAAATACGCTATTAGAGATTATTTGAGATAAAAAATATCTAAAATTATAAAATAATTACCCCATAATATATATCGACGGAAAGCAGAACTTTTTATATTTTATCTGTCAAAATATGTCTTTAGATAAGAGAGTAAAAGCGAGCATACACGCGCGCGCGTAATAGCTCAAAAATATAAATCTCATAAATCCGTACGAGAGGCTATTCTCTCTCAAGTGTTCGCGTGAGGAAGACGCGGTTTACATTAAACGTTACGTAATACGTATCTGCGCATCGTGCTCAGGAATTCGTTCATGCGATCTCGATTTTCAAATATCGAGTCATACATCGTACGTGCATTATATACCGTGTCGTAAATTCCACATGGCGAGTACGCAGAGTCACGAGTGCAGTCACGATCGAGCTGCAACTTCCCAAGGTGGAAGCTGCGACGCGCGCTCTGCTCTTTTCTCTCGTCTAACAGGGGGCTCCGTTTTGACCAATCGCGTCCCACTGGCGGGGGTTGTGCCATAAATGTCGCGTGGCTTATCGTCGGAACCCGTCGCCAGATCGGCGCCACCGTGTATAGCACCGGTAGTATACTAGTCCACATTTTTGGCGGCAGCCGTCCAGTCTAAGGTCCAATCCCCGAACCGAACGGTCGTCCGAAATACTTAGGTAAAGATCTGCATCTCTCTTTTTTTCTCTCCCTATCTTTTTCTCTCTCTTTTTTTCTCCGATCGAAAGTCAAAGATTTTTTTTTTTTTTTTTTTGGAGAGAGAGAAAGAAAAAAAAAGGAATCGCAGGGAGAAGTTTGAGCTGCAAACATAAGGGATGAAAATACGGGGGTAGCGAAAGGGTAGCGACGTGAGCGCCATCGCGAGTGCATCGAAGGGAGGAAACGAGGGAATTTCCCGAGGGAGAGACCGTCGCGAGAAACGGCGCGATTTTCCGATCTACTGTGCGGCAGTGAAGAAAGAAACGCCTAGTCGGACGTGGTCCTCCTCTGCTGCGACGCATTCATTTAGTAGGAAATCGCTCTTCCACTAACCAATGACTTAATAATACTCTTTTTTTTAAATCTTATCCTATTGTGTGCATGTGGATGTGTATGTAAAATGGAGATGTGCGATTAACGATGTGACTAACATATGTAGATATATTAGCGGATCGATGAAGATCGATCGATAATTTAATTAATTAGTATTCCTAATATATGTAATTATATTGCTGTATGATAAATAATGTAATTGATGGTATGTAAACAACATTATGTAATTATGTCAGATCTGTCACAGTTTGACGCAAGAGAAAATAATAATAAATAAATTATATATTAATATGAATTAATGACTAGAAGTTGTAGTCTTAAAATTCGAAATTTTAGTCTTATTTCATTCGATCAATAATTATTTAATGTTATTTTTATCCACGTCAATTTTACTCGTGTCATTAATATTGCGACCCTTTTCACGTCTAACACAGTATCTTTGCTTTGCGTGACCGAATTGCTATTCGTTGTCGTTTAAAACAATGACGTTTCTCTCTGACAGCTGTATGTTTAAAATCAAGTAGAATCTCATATATAAAAGAAATGTAAACGTCTTTCGGTAAAACGATGGAATAATGCAAATTTGCATTGCATAATGTCTATGTCATTTAAATCTTCGCTTTGTTGATTTTTTTTTGTAAAACTTATTTATATTCTAAATAAAATTACTCTCTGTGATTGCAATGTAAAAGATTATTCAATTATTCAACAGATTATTCCTCTCTGTTAGAGAAAAACTTTATTTTAACTTTATATATCTTTATATTTTGTTAACATATATTGTTTTAATTTTTTAATACTGGTATTTTTTAAAAGGCTTTATACAAACAATTTACGAATGCACGCGAGATATATATAATTGAATATTCTAACGTATATTTAACAATATTACTGATTTAATAAAATAATTATTTTTTTAAAAGCCTTGAACTTTTAATAATCTCAAACTTTGACAATCTCAAAATGGATAAATTTTTATTAATAAAAAAAAATAGTATTTTTCCTAACACAAATGCATGGCCAGATGTCAATTGCAAGCAATAAACAGATAATTTTTGGAAAAAAAATGAGAAGCGAGGATCTGCAAGAATTTATGAAGATGTCGCTCTAATAAAAATGTAATCTGCAAAATGATTTGGAGGTCTCTTAAAGAGTTAAGATCTCTCGCACCGCAAAATGAATACGACGTCTATAAAGCGGTTCTTGTTAACGTCGGAAATTTATCGACCTCGCTCTTCCTATCGTCGTAATCTCGCCTCCGGTGCATTCTAATTTCGTGGAAGCGATTTGGCAATGGCCGGCACGCGTACACCGTCTCTGGGTTTCCTTTTTATTGCAATACCAATTTGAGGCTCGCGCGGCATTTAAGCGCGCCGTGCCTGACGATTGTCGAGTTTATGCCAATCGTTCACAAGATGGCAAATTGTTTATAATAATTGGCAGAGATTTTTGTTTAAAGCTTACGTAAGGCGCACGCGCGCGCGATCGCGTATTTATACCGCCGACCGAGAATAGCCGGATCTGCGCGATCCGCCAAGACCGACGTGTCTGTTATAGCCCGTTCCCTTTCTACCGATTTATACATTTATATATTTTTTTATATTATATATATTATATATATTGTAGATAAAATTCGAAAAATTTGCCTAATCGAAAGAATCGATTAGAATTTTATATTCTTGTCACGTATTTTTTGTGCTGCTAGAAGAGTTTGGGCAATCTTGATTGTTTTTAGATAAATATAATTCATTAAAATAAACTCATTTATAAACCGAACAAATATTTCAATTTTTTAAAATATTTTAATTCTATCAAATATTAAATGCTTTATAATCATTATCGATAAAAATGTCAATTTGATAAATTATTAATTTGCAATATATTCAGGAATTACTTGTCTCTTATTAGTCAAATATTATTTGTGCATCGTCATGCGTAAAATGTTGCGTTTGTTCTTGTGTCTATTGTTCTGACTGGGAAATCTGGAAGAGATTTTACGAAATTTAACTCTCGTAACTAAATGCGTTCCAGATTAATGGACTTGCTAATATTATGGAATACGTCATCGCAAGTGCTAGCCAACGTCTCGGCGAGTTAAACGACATGTCCGACCAAATTGGGACACTACTACTTTCCGCCTCGAGATCAAATTTAATGTTATCGTAAACAATCATATTCGATCCTAAATCTAAGTCTGTCACAAGTGGGACCAACAGCATCTAAATTTATTTAAATATCCTGACAAAATGCGATCTTGGTCATTGCTTAAAATAAAAATTAACTTTCTGCCGCGATTAAATAATCTCGAGATTTCTACGAATAATAATATTATTTTTATGAATATATAATTTATATATGGTAACTTCTTTAAAATTTAAATAATATAAATCGATTTATTTTTACTTTACTCTATCTTATTATCTTGTTCATAAAAATGTGTTAAAAATTTTTTTAATTATTATTTGTTGCTTTCACTTATCAAATTTTAAATTAAAATTAAAAAATGTAATCACAGAGAGTCTTTACAAAATTTTTTTATTATAATTCTCTAATATATATGATATAATAATTAATCGCGGATAATATTTATTAATTCCGATGCTGTGTAAAATGACGTAATAAAAAAAAACTTAGAAATTACCTCGCGTATGCAAATCCTGATCGTTATTCTCGAAAGAAACAAGCGTAAACAATACATAGGACCGAAGGTCAAAGTAATGAAACGTGCGATAAATGCAATCTACGATGTCGCCGTGGTGTCCCTGCTTTAAACGGCGCCGTCTGACGCGAGCGGATTCTTACTACTTTCCCGCGCGCTTCTCGCGTTTCATCGCCGGGTTAACGTGCCGGGTCTCCTCGGCAGTGATCAAGTTTTTCGACATTACTATCGCGAAAGTTTTTCTTTGCACGATTCCACACGAATCCCCGCGCGGACTTTTAACGGACAACACGCGATGCTCGGAATGTAAAGAAGTAGTATATTGTAGCTTTAAGGAAACTCGCGGTCGATCGTTCCTCGGTTGACGCGTCTTCAACATCCCTTTCTAACACTGTCAATCGCGCTAGCAATGTATACTTTTATTCCGAAAAATAATCGTTAAGACGCTAATCTTTGTGAGACTGCGATCCGCTTCGTTACTTAAAACGTTTATAATTGGAATGTAAAATTAGAATGTAAAAACGCAGTAAAAAGTTAGAACTTTTTTTTGTAATGATAGTTTCTAAAATATCAGTGACTAATTGCAAATAAGAAGAAATATAATTTTAAATAGATTAAATTAATTACATCGAGAGTTTGTCAAAGCAATAATCCAAGCAAAATAAAATGTGAATTATTTTTTTCAAATTCTTTAGAAAAAGAATTGACTTTGTAAGTTTATTCTTGAATCAAAGTGAATTTTTAACAATGGATATTAACATCATTTAATCCGGCTGTATTATGTCAAGTTTGGCTGTCTTACGAGGTCGCGTGGCGCGGGTGCTACGCGATTTTCGGCCAAGAATGCTAGGACGACAGGTGGAAGTGCCGTAGCAGTCGTAAACCGCAATCCCGTAGCAACGCACATTGCGAGGATACATTAAAGCTCCGCACGTGTTAGCGAGGGAGTGCCAAATCTTCTGATTATTTAATTCCTCGCGTTACGTCTTTCATAGCGCGTGTAACACAATGACGTACATGTCTGAAACAAATTTCCTGTCTTTTGTAAATCAAAAAATACGATAATACAAAAATATATTCTAAACTTTATTTTCACATAATAATGCTTATAATATTTTAATATTCTTGAGATTAATTTTTTTTATTGAAAGCTTCGTGTGTTATAATATTAGATATTTTTTACTGTTAAAGTGTTATTGATAACATTTATATATAATCACTTTTAAATAAATGTATATTATATACAATATTTATGCGATTAGAAATCAATTTTCCTTCATTCATAAGAGCATCATAAAGAGTACTATAGCTTTTCAATTAAAATATTTGAAGGATGATTAATCCAACGTTCGAGTCATCGCGAAATATCAGCTGTGCAGGCGGCAGAACGTATGTATTTCAGTTTTTGGACTCATGTCCCAGATCATTTGCTTGACCGTGCCATATATATTTTTAGAAGCCATCTAGATTACCACGCGCGTCCGGATGGGGATGTAACCCCCACGTTTCTGTTCTATGTTCTACCACGCGCGCCCACATCATTTCTCCTTCATCTTTCTTCCGGCGCTTCTGTAACACCAGCCCAATCTGTATTACGCACGCGACAAAAATGCGATTCTTCGTTCCAATTCTCTCGCGGATCGCACTTTTTACTCGCATTATAAATTTTATTTACTTGTCATTACATATGTATAGCATCTTGTTTTCGCAGAGATAATTTAATTCGATAAATCTTTCTTAATTTATGTCAACGTTGTTGATGTCTCATAGAAATTCGCGCAAACTGGTTAGCATGTCAAGATTCATTCGCGGCTTAACCCATTTCCACGTGGATTTTAAGGTCAAGATATTCTCGGACAAATATACTCACAGAATTGTGATGCGATCTAATGAAAGTAGTTTCTAGAATCAAGATTCCGAACACGTGCGCTTTTCTAATTAATTTTTTATCATAATAGTATACTATAAATAGTATAGTATAAATACAATTAAATAACCTTTGATTTTTTATATAATTTTTTAGAAATTTAAAATAAAAAAAATAATTTTTAATCGACAAAAAATGTGAGATTGAGACAATGAGATCATAAAAACGTAAATTCGAGTTGTATGGCTCGGTCGAGATTCGATGTTAAAATCGCCATAGTACAGAGTTTAGGAGGTCATTATCGTCGAAGGTACCATGAGCCTTCAATGGGGGTTCGCGAAAATCGGTCAAAGTCACACAGAGACTCGGTTGTCTCGGAGCACAGGGCTTCTCTCTCTCTTTCTCGATATTTCCACCTGTTACTAACTAAAAACGGACCGGGGCCCGGGCAGTCTAAATATAACGACCGCGAATCCGGGACTCTTGCGTCACGTCGCGTCGCGACGCCTTCCTTTTCGTTCGCTCGAGAATTGTGTGTAGACTGGAGAACAAATTATAAAAAAACTTTAGAGGGGGTTGGTTATTTTTCAAACTATTTTTCCTCTCGTTTTTAAAATTCAAGAATCGAGTCTGAATATATCTAACAAGTTCAAATTTCTTGCTTCTTCTAAAGAACTCGAAGAAACCAATTTCAATCTTATACAACTTTTACAACTTTAAGTTTTCTATGCTTAAAAAATTATTCTGCTTGGATTACTGTTTTGAAAAGCATTATTTAAAATGTGAGATTGCTTCTTGTTTATAATAAGAGCTACAGATTCTGAAAATAATATCAAATATAAAATAGAATTTTGTAAAAATTTTTATAAAGATATGTAAAAAAGAATTTTTACAAAATTCTCTCTATTTTACATTTGACGTTATTTTCAGAATCTATTTTTGTAAACAGAATTTTCATATTATATTGTAACAATGTAGCATTTAAAAAATCAATGCAAACTTAAGATGTTTGCGTTAAATATAATGTGCTGTATATATACATTTTAATATTCGGATATATTTTTGTAAAATAAGATCAACGCGAAGCAACCTCATTTTCACTTCATTTTCACGACCTTCAGTGTTCTCGTCGAGAATGAAACGGGAATATCTACGAAAACGCTCGGGCGATCCAGGGCGACTATGAAGTATGCGTGACGCTAAAATTAGCGGCATCCGTTGCGTCAACAAAAAGAAAAACGTCGTTCCCATTTTGCGCTACAGACTACGATTGGCCGATGCAAGGGACGCTACGAACCAATTCTGTTTTTGCACGCGATCGTAAACGGGACAGCGTTATGTGACAATAATTTTCGAATTATAACATTTGACATTAATAGCGTCAATCCGATTTAAAAATAATCCGAAAAAAAATCTTAGAATATCTCATATAAAAACAAAGATGTTTAGATGTAGATCTAAAATTTAGATTTTGACTACATCTTTACATTATTTTATATCTCCATTTAATATTATCAAAAATTTTTTAATAATTATGTATAATATTCTATATAACGCGCTTTTATTTTTATTTTATTTTTAATATTTAGCAAATTACGTATAATTATTTGCAAAAATTCAAAGAATGGTGATTTCTGTGGAATCAACAAATTATTAAACTAGATCTGGGATTTCATTCATCAGAATTGGTTTACATCGTGCATAAATAAAGAAAATGATTGCCTCATGATAATGGATTGCGGAAATGGCGCATAGTTTACTGTAGCAAGGTTAAAAAAACAACCGCGCCTACGTAAATCGTTAAATTTAAGGTGGCTTATGCAATCACCTCAAACTACTGGGATTTAATGTGGCGCTTATTACGAGATTTTCTCATAAAAGTTCTTTCGCTTTCAGTAGTTGCATTTGCAGAGAAAATCTAATAATCGATTCATTTTTATCCTAGTCGAAAAAGTGAAAGAATCAAAGCTCTTTTAACACAGAACTTTCTTTTGTAACTAACAATTACTATTTTTCATTTCCTAATATTCTTCTGTGTTTAATAATCCCTTATCATGTCAATCATTAATTAAAGTACCGTACACGTACATAAAAGATTGTAGTAAATTTTAGCGTTATAAAATGTTAAACAAAAATATATATTTACATGTTCTATTTTAAATTTTATCTTGTAAGTTTTTAAGTTATAATTTTTTAACAAAAATTTAATTAAATCTAATTTAATTAAATCTATTTAATTATTAAATCAATTAAAATAAATAGTTGAAAATAGTTGAAAATTTTTCTTGACAAAAAATTGATTAATATACACTGTTAAAATCTACGATATGAAAAGCATTGATAATTCTAAGTTAAATTATAATAAATTATATGTTTTTTAACATTATCTCTTCTGTCAATCTTCTTTCACGTGTACGGTAATCTTTCATTAGAGGAAGAGCATTTTCTACAAAACGTCAAACGATTAGAAACTCGATAAATTTGTTACATTCTCTCGCGATTTATGAATTCGGACGGAGAAGAAAGATGCTTATTTAACTGTCTATTTATTTTTTTCTTCTTTGCTACAGCGAACGAGTGTGGTTAGCAGTTCAGTAGAGTGGTAAAATGGACGCGCGATTCAAAAGCAATCTCGATATGATCGGGCGTAACGAGCCCATCACAAGGAAAGCGAAATTTTGGCAGAGTTATGTACGGGCCCTGAAAGGTGAGACACGCATATTGTCTGCGTGATATTATCTTCGAATTTCTGTACGTCCTGCATCTATATTAATTGTACATAATGATTCGCATGAAACAAACTGTTGTCTAAACATTTCCACAGTGATGAGCTAATATATTTGTACTAAGTACATTTTTTCCTGAAAAATTATATATGTTTATAAATCATGAATACTTAATTTCAAACAAAGCTTTTGATTTTCTTAAGTGAAAATTTAAAAATGCATATGCACTTTTTAGCATCTTGTTACAATTTTTTCAAATATTTTATTTTGACAAGATATTTTTGTACTTTAGTTACATTGATCAAATGAATCTCTTAATATTTTTGAATGAAATAAAAACAGGTACTGACGACATCAGAGCTCCCGAGCACACTCACAGGCCCCGCAGCATTTTCCGCTCGGATTTTCCTGAGCTGCACTCCACCTCGTGGCCGTTTGGAAAGTCAATCTTCGAAAACCCGATTCACGCATCCGACCGTATTAATGTTCCCGGATACAGGTGTGTTACGCGTATTTGTTTTTCTTTTTTCTTCATTAGAATAGTCGCGGTTGAATAAAAATATATGTACCTAAAGTTATAGAGCAGAATTATGATATGTCAAAAAGAGAATTGTTCTGTGTGTCGCATTTTTTAAACGCTCATATAATATTATACATTAATAAATGTATATTCTTGACTTATCTCTGACATATCGGTTCTCTTAGCAAAGGCTCAAAATAAACGAAGATTTAAATATAAATCTACGCCGGCATACTTAGTAAAATTTTACTCTTATTTTTTAGTATTCTATAATATTCCTTATGTCATAAGCAAAATACTTAATTCATACATATAATTTCTAATGTTGAAATAAAAAGATCTGAGAGAAATATTGAAAAAATATCTATTATACATAAATATTGAATGAGACTAAGCACTCGATATTTTGAGCCGCTATTCTGCGAAAGATAATATTAGCATAGATTACGTTTCCTTCTCTCTTTTCTCAGGTATCTACCCGTGCACCGTGAGATCTACGGATATTCGCCGAGGCAGCTGTATCCCCATCAGTACAAACCCGTAGAACGCTTCACCCCCGGTACGTACTAAAGAACTGTGAGCGAAAGAATCGAAAAGAGAGTGAACGGCGTCTTAGAGAAAGAAATCGAAAGCCCGAAACGAAACGAAAACTCTTATAATACCTCGATATCGAACGAGAGCGAGAGAGGGAGTGCGAGAGAGTGCGAGAAAAATGGGAAAGAATTTGAAGAAGTACGCGAGAAGAAAAAAAAAACACAGAGAGTGAGCGGAATAGACTAAAGTAGAACCCGGGTGAGACGGAAATATACAAAAGAGAAAAGCATGAACGCGCAGAATGTATCGAACCTGTTAACAGATAACTACACTTGTTCTCGTGGACCTTCCTAGATTAAGTTTTCGATGTATAACAACCCGGTGCTTTTGGCTTCTGGCCGGCTTCTTTCTAAGGGAAAGAAACAAACGAACGATCATCATTCTTGAGAGAAAGACATCTTGTCGCATCTTACGCGCGCAAGCACGCGAGACCCTCCGGGCCTTTCTCAGAAGCCAGAAACGCCTTTCCGGAGAGGTACCGTACACCTATTCACATTGCCCTCCACCTTTTGCCTGCACACTTAACCGAAGAGAGACAAACAGAGCGAGACAACCATAAAGAAGTCCACCCTCGGCCCCGATTTTACACCGCAAAATGCCGCTTCCCCCGACGTGTAAAATGCGTATTGCACTTCTTGAACGTACGTGTCAATCGGTTCGTTTGTTTAGTTTCATTGTAAATCACAATAATAATAATCAAAATAATCATGTCTATATATACCTTCATACGTCACACACATACCATGTGTAATACTAATTATTTTACGTTATCTCTTTGTATCTATAAGTTATTAGACTTATATACCACACTATATCATAATTATATATATATGAGAACATATCTATACGTACGTATAAATATATGTACAATATATTTCAATATCTTTCAAGGCTTTTCTATGTCTCGCGACGTACCACTTTTAGAGTCATATATTTCCCTGTTTTTAGATCCTAATTGACTAATCGAGACCGGACTCAAGATCGACGTTGACATGACATTGTGGATTTATGATTAGTAGAATCTAATCCGTCATATCAATTAGGATAGTCTAGGGTGGATTATAATCATTAAAAAAGAAACCCAATTCAGGGGAGGGATATTTCTCCTCTTTACATATATCAAAATTATATCACGAATACGATATGTGATAATAATTACAAAACTTTAAGTTCGCCTACGCTAAATTAACATTAATTGCTTTTCATTATCATTTTAATAATTCTAATTCAATAAATTTCAAAAATCATAATTCATAAATATGTAATCTACCTTCACATTAAAAATAAAAAATATCGAAATGATCAGGTTTTAGATTTTTCTAAAGAATTTTAATTATTATGATTATGATTAGAAATAAAATGAAAAGTATTTTTTTTTTATTATAAAATATATAGCGAGTTTTCTCATTTCTAAATTTCACATATTTCTAATCTAATCAACCATCTAATTTCAACGAATAACAAATGATTCGAATATCATTTCTATCGTTAAATCGAGGCGTCACGGATCATCGTTCACCGTCGTTACGTCGTTTCATGGATCTCACGTGGAACATACGTGTCGTACCCGAGGTGTCGTCCTGTGATCTCGTCTCTAGAGAGAAAGTATTTCCTAGCTCGTCAGTATACGTCCAGTAACGATTCAAAGTCATCGAAATGGGGTATCATTGTCGATTCGTTCAACTATACGCGCTCCCGCACGTCGTTGAGCAGAGATTTCTGATTTCTGATTTCCAGGCGCTAGACCCAACAAGTGGCTCATACTGAATCGCATCATCGATTTGAGCGACCTTAGACGCCAACAGATCTCCCGAAAATGGGAGACCAAAGAGCGAATCGCGCTCACCTCCCGAGCGCGACGTCATTGCTTACGAAAGACGATCGACTAATATCTCATGCACGAAAATCTCCCTCTGAAAATATAATCCCACTTTTAGAATACTTCCCCCGCTCTTATTATAACATATTACACCGTACATACGTGTTCCTTAATCAGTACGTGTGGCAAGCACGTAATTTTGCTTAGCGTTCTAACAGATTCGCCTAACCAATCATTTCGCATATCATATTTTTGCAATCGCTAATGTAGTGTTTTTTTTTAAATACGATGCCGCAATTTTTCGATAATTTTTTTATAATTAGGTAAATAATTATGGAATATCAAAATGATTGATATATATTATTGTATGGAATAGAGAAAGAAATGTTTAATATAATGGGCGACTTTGATCTTCTCTCATTATTATGATCGTTTTTTTGCAAATTTTTTTCATCATTGATTACTTATATTTTTACACGATAATTTGGATATTAGGAATTTAATATTAGCAAATTAAATATTAGTAAACACATTGAAGCACACATTTAAAGACCATGGACTTTTAAATCATAAAATATAGGAGATCTTGTGCATAGCAATAAAAAGTTACATACACACACCAGTTTACACCTACACAACACATCGTAACTTATTACTTACGAAATGTTACCCGCTTTTTAATACAAACACACGATACTCACAAGATCTCGCAATCCTGAACAAAAAAAAACACACGACCCTTCCTTCTTTTTGATATCGGTCATCGAGAAAAACCCGCGAATCATCGTGAAAAGAAAAATTTTACAAGACCATTTTGACACCAGCTATTGCGATCGAGAACTGATCTCGAAAATATGATGAATGCGCGACAGGAAAAGCTAACAGTTTTCATATTCACAAAAATTTATAAAAACAAACTCTAATGAGATACATTATAAATTTTTTTGTTAAATAATTTTTGGCCACAATTATGTTTTGCAATTTATACTTTTCGTCTTTTTCCAGTCTGATAAAATGTATAAAATAATATTGTGTAAAATAAACTAAAAAAAAAAATAAATTTATATTCATACTCTATTTTGAACATATTTATTATTTGCTGAATTATTAATAATATCGAAAAAATATATCTAACTCTGTTTATATAAACGCATAGTTTACTTTAAGTATAATATAAAAATATGTTTATTATATTTCTTCTTATAATTTTTTTATAAAGCTAACAGCTGTGAAGAACGAGCAAAGAAATTATGAAAATATTTGATAATTTTATTTTTAAAATATTTCGTATTCTATTTTTTATTTGTGATCAATTATATGGATAGAATGCGGGCACGTACTATTCAGAAATCCTTAACTCTTGCAGCTGAAGTGGAGATCACTGCTTGATTGCGAAAAGTCAATCAGCCGAAAGGGAGATATAAAAATGCGACTCAAAAATGGGATAGAACAATAGCAAGACTGGTTTTTTCGACCGTCATACACTCTACGTTAGGCAAGGATTGTACGCTCAGGCATATTAGAAAATAATTCTGGAAACAAAAGGGATCTGCATGTATTGGCACAGAATGTATGATATGAACGTATGGTAGCACTACTGAAAGGGAATAGGACGTGTATGGATCAGACGTATGTGAGCAAAGCTGGCAAAAAAAGGATCGTGCAGAAAAAATTCTCCTTTTCGAAAATCTTAAAAGAAAAGTAATAAATTGAGATAAAACATGGCCGCCAAAACTTGAAAAAGCTGGAAATTTTCTCTCGATGCTTGCGCGACCTAATTCGTGCTTCCGATTTTTCAGACACAACAATATCGCCTCTCTCTTCATACACAACTTTTTTTTGTTAATTTAAATATATATTTATGCCGTACACATATCGCACAAGTAGAACAAAAACAGTGTAAATATATACATGCACAGAAATACATTTACACAGTTGTAATAGAATTCACAAACACAAAAACTCTCTTTAGAAATATATAAACAACAGATTTTCTTTTATAATTCAATATAAAATGAAATTATAAATATGAATAATTGAAGGCGATACCGAGAAAAATCGAAAGTTCTCTTTTTGTAATACGCTCTAATCGGCAATAATACATGCACGCGTATTTACTAACAATGGACAGATTAACGTGCAATTAATTACAACCAGATCCAGAAATTTCTATCTTTTTCAGGATATGGCATGTACTTTTTTTGTTAATTTGAACCCTTCCCTCCCTAGAAACCCGTTTCTAGCTTTTAAGCGATCCGCCTGTTGTAATTCTTTCGACTGGAACTGCATAATAATTAACGACTGCTAATTTATGATGATTACACGGACGTACACGGATCATCGCAACGTACATATAGGATCGTCACAATTACTATATATAGTTCACATCGGATTATGCACTGGATTTTAGTAGGTACCGATTTTTAATGAAAAATTTTACATAATTAGTTATTCAAGCTAGATGCTTAAAGTAGTGTGATCAATTAACCGCGCGACTTCTCACAAAAAGTAGAAAGTTGGGAAATAATAATATCAAATTGATAACAAAACTTAGAAAATTACCATAGCTGCAATAGCCGCAAATCTTGAAATAAAAAATGTCAATAAATCAATCAATAAAGTCACTTTTTGACAAAGAAAGATTTTAAATAAAAATATTAAGTAATCGACAAATTACAATTAAATTGTTTAATTTGAATTAAGAATTGAATAATGCGCATATGCAATTTTAAAGCTAATATTTAGTGATGGCGTACAATAAAATAGGTTTAGCTTTATAAAATTCATGCTAGTGCCCGAGCTTTCAATGATAGCGCCGAGCATATAATTAATAAGATAGTTTGATAAGCCATAGTTTAAGCAATTATAGCTATAATTAGGTATACGAGTCCGCATTTTGATAGTACAGATCACTATATCTCTCTAATTTTTTTCGATACAAATTTTGATAACCGAGTCGTTTTTTGACAACACGAACCGTCGCAGCTTTTTTTCGTCACCAACTTTTTGAAGCAGCTTTTTTCCACCAGGTTAGTATGCTTTTTCACTTTACGTAACGTCATGCTATTTTTGTGACAATGCTGATTTTTCTTTTATTTTTTCCACACAGGCTCGTGTGTGACGTCAGTTTATGCCAGCTTTCGTCTAGATAATATGATATAAAGAAGAATATTTGGTATTTAGTAAACGCGCACGGCTTACAAGGATATGAAATACAGGGACAGAACCCTTTAGCACTTTTTAACTTCCCGTACTTGCTATGAACAAACCGAGTGTAACTTTAAGCGAGAGTTTAAAACAGCTCGTCTAGTTGATGTACTGCAAGTCAAAGTTTCGACGAACCTCCCTAATTATATTTTAAAGAGCCGTCATTCGCTAATTAAACGCGGAATTAACAAGAATCGCGCGCTCGTATAACTTGCATAATTTTTGCTAAATTTGCATAAATTGAAGAGCATATTTATAATGCGGAAAAATTAGTCATCATAGCTAAATTTTAAACGTCTCTAATATATTACAACGCAAAATTTAATTATCATGTATAAATTTTAGTTATAGTAACTAATATTTTTAGCTACAATGTTTAACGGAAAATTATATAACTAAAAAAGATTAACTATCATAGCTGAAATTGAGGCCTAATAATTAAATTTCATGTGTAATATAGAGACAGCTAAAATTTAATTATGGTGTCTAATTTTTTTCCAATATTTGTAAGCTTGTCAAAATGTTTCCCTCCCCATATTTATTTCATAAAACGTATTAATAACGCATGCTGCGTTTCATGCATGATCTATATATGTATGTATATTTATGTGCTTCGTATAAAAATTATTATTACGAAAGCAAATATTGCGAAAGTCATGACGAACAGAACTGCTTATGCGCTAAAATACTAAAAAAAAGAGAAAATGGAGCGCAAAGCAAAGATCAATTCGGCAAACTTTGGGCCATATAAATCAAATTCAATTAATATATTATTAGAAACTAATGTAAATTTTAAGAGTTCCATTTATCAGAAAGAAATTGATGTAAATTGGTCATTAAATAATTATATAAGACTTACCTTATATTAAATTTTTAATCAAATATTGGGAAGTGTTATGCAAATATTATTGGTTTTCTTTTTAATTAAAAAAGGAGAGAAAATAACAGTGTATATGTTTTTTAATTCAAAGATATCTTCTAAATTGTTTCTTTTTATTTTTTCAATATATTTTATTGAGCGCAAAAAGGAATTATTATATAATCTATGGACTAAAAAATATTTATATTGTATATATTCAGAAAACTATAGTGAAAATAATAATAACTATAATAATAATAATTGGACATAACATAAAGTGTTTAGATATCAAAACAATTAACTTTAATTTATTTTAATAAATTCATAAAATTGATTTAAGCATTCCTTTGTGCGCTTGTTATTTTTATTAAAATAAACGATGATAAATCCGAGATTTTTGGCTATGGCCATTCAGGATCAATGTATCAATATATCAATATATCAAATGTAATACTCACATGTTAAAAGATCAGATAATTGTCGTAAATTCTCGATCAATTGTGTCCTATTTTGGATGAAACGTAGCGAATACATAAATTTAAATATAAAAAAAATTAATAGCAATTTAAAAATTAATAAAAAGAAATTAAATTTGATTTTTTCTATATCTGTAGCAATTTTATAAAACAATTACTTTGATAGTTATATGTATTAAAATTAAAGTAATTCAAAGATTTTGTTTATATATATATATATATATATATATATATATATAAATTTAATTATTTAAATTATTAGAAATTTATTAAATCATTTAAATAAAATTAATTATTTAAATTATTTAAAAAAAATGTTAGAATATTTATTTATATATTGCAAAAAGTGATCGCTACGCGTTCGTCGAGAAAAATAGGTAAAGTTGTAAATCAACAAATTTCTGCTTTCATTTTTACAATGAACAAAATTGCAGCGAAACCATTCGACGCTGAAAAAGCTTGGACCGACCATCTGAATCGGTTGGCAGACATCGACAGACTCTATCCGAGCAAATCACCGCTTTTGGCTCGTCATTTAGGCCCACCGCTTAGTATCAAACGATTGTTCGACATTCATGGTGAGTAAAAAAGCACAAATATGCAATATTTATTGCCCAATGCAAATTCAAACATAAGCTACTTACCGCTTATTTATGCATTATTTGTAACATGTCTTTATTTAGAAACAAACCTCAGAAATATATTTTTTATATTTTGGATAATATAAATTACGCACGAGATTTATTCTGCGTACGAATAACAAATAAAATACCAATAATTAATTGCTCACATGCTGCTGCGTCGCGACGAAGCTTACCTAGTCTTTTTTTCTCCCTGCTTTTTCTCTCCGTCCTTGTTGCTCCTTCGCGACGTCCCATACTTTTCCGCCAAAATAAGGTTAGTCGCGACGCGTATTAATTATTGAAGTACCGACGATTCCGCGACACTCTTCATTTCACTTTCGATCTTAAATCACGCGACGCGTACTTTATTACGTTTTTTTGGACAAAATAACGCGACAAGAGAGCTAGTATAATCGAACAAAGCTTCGGATTTCTTGAGCTCCGGTTCCTGCAGCGTCTCGCGTCTCGCGCGATGGATGAATGGCGGGCGACAGAGAGAATTCGAAAGTGCGCCAACTTCATGCTACAACTGTCACTCCGCACTGCGCTTTTCGCATTTTCAAAGATAATATGCGTTGGCATTTAGAGACAATTATTACTTCTCTTATTGTAACGTAAGCGAATTAAATAAGAATATACGAATTGAAATTGATAATAATTATCTGTCGAGATATATCGAAATTTAAAGACGACTTTATCGATTGTTCGCGATATCGATTATCGAAATCGCGCGAAATACGTATTTTATATTAATAAATTGTCGATGTGCAAATTTCGAATTTTTATATGGATAATAATAAATATTTTGCTAATGATAAATATTGAAATATTGAAATGCATATAAGGTGTTGTTAAAATACATCGCAAAGTTTATGTAACCCGTTTCGTATCTGTCTCTCTTAAACTGAATCAGTGAAAATGTCATTAAAATAGACACAAGATTTATATAATGAGTTTCATTCATACTTGTTTTCATTGAATATTAATGAGACTCATTACATAAATCCTTTATTTTATGTTTCATTGAATATAAATATGATGTCCGAAAAATCAGTAAAATAATTATATATATTTGCAAGTAGCTTTTAAAGTTTTTTATATTTATTTATTTCGGATTGCTAATTTTTAATAAAAACAACTACTTCAGAATTATGTATATATTATATTTTTATTCTTAAAATGTAATGAATCTAGAAAAAATAAACAATACTCTTGATCAAACTCAGATATTTTTTAATAAAATATATTACTATAATTTCATCTGTATACAATATAATGAGACGTATTTTAAAGTATTACTGATTGAAATAACCACTAATTTTTAAAATAAAATTTCATTAATTTGCAATGCTTATACTTATAATTGAAAATATAACAATTTAACTGTTTTGCAGTAATAATACACTGATTCTATTTAAGAGTGCAATGTTCTGCTAATGACTAAAAAGAAATTCAAAGATAAATTGGCAACTGCATCCTAATATCACACGATAGATGTGATTAAGCAAATTGAATTAATAATTAAATGAATTAAGATAAATCATCGTTGAAAAGATATACAATTTGAAAATTGCTATAGTATTTTTTGTCAAGACTATTTTGCTTGTAAAACGCGTTCATATATGCATATAACATCCTACGAAACAAATTTCGTAAATGAAGAAATTACCTCATTCTAGCAGCTTCAGCATCTCGTAAAGATAGCATCTGCTAAACAATCGCTGCTAATAATATTTCGTTCTAGCTCACACAAGAAATGTCTCAAGGGCAATTTACAGCTGCCCGTGTAAACGGCCTTACATAACATAGTATATATTTATAAACAATACACCCCCTACCTTCACCTCCCAGCAGCTCTCGACGGTCATCCGCGAACCAGTTCTCGATCGATCCGAATTAAAATCGTCTCGTACGCAGGTAATCCCGTGGACGACGACTACTTACTGCCGCGTCCGTCTATCCTGCTGCGCAAGAAGCCGTTCTTCGATCTCCTGGAACCGTCACCGATGGCACCCATCAGTGCATTCACCCGGGACCCATGGTGGTATCCGAGTTATGCGCCCTATATTCCGAGCTACGCTCAGTACCGCACACCGTTCTATCTGAGGGACAGCTACCTCAGTCCAGTTAAACGTAATTACTTGTGGAGCCGACATCCCATCAGGCCCTTCGGTATGTGCATGTCACCGTGGCCCTTCGGGCCGTTCTTCTTTTCCACGAGCAGGGATCGATGCCAACGCGCAATTTTGTTGATCGCTAGACAGATATATAATAAAATAAAGATAGTAACTTATTCGTCAAATTATATTCGATGATAATGGCAGTTTCATCTCAAATGTCAAATGTGACATTTACTTCGCGCAGCAAGCGATTACGAAAATTTATGTGACATTCGATGGCATTGGTCGCTGACAAATACTGACTATAGATATTATTCAGAGATTTTCAACAATTTCTGTATCATAGTTTATATATTACGTGTTAAATCTTGCAATTGCGAATAACTGAATATTAAAAAGTTGAAAAGTAATACAGACAATATCTTGAAACGTCTAGATAAAATGTGTTTGCAATAATAAATCTCTTAATAGAATCTACAGTCAGTAATTGTGATATATTTGCGATTATATTATTGTTTTATTTTTGTAATTAAATATACGTAATCGCAAATTTTAATCTAGACTACTATTGAAAGCCAAAATCGCATATGAAAATTATGCAAAAAAACTCAGAATTATGGCTATTATTTTAAATATTTCGTGCTGCAAGATGTAAACGAGATTTTGTTATTTTATAATTCTTTAAAAATTACAAATTTTTTTCTTTTTACAAATTTTATAAGTATTCTATTATGAAGAATAGACAAAATGATGAGTTATAGTAGTCTAGAATATAATGCATTTTTCTTAGGTATAACACGCACTTAACATATACATTATTTAAATACAGGTTGAATCTTAGGAAAGATGAGATATTTTTCGTACAAGAAAATATTTTTCGTTTCCGTTCATTTTCAAAACATATGTGAGCTTTTGGAAGTCATACAGCTGCTAGTTATTTTTTACCAGTAGAATAGTTGTAGTTTCTCGAAACGGATTTTGATAATTTTTCCCTTATTCTTATTAATGTTCCATGAAATATTCAGGGATACATGTCTCTACTGGCGAAAACTTTTTACTCGACCGAAGAAAAAGAATCGATCGCGATTTTTTTCTGAAAAGTTAAAATATAACATGTTTAATCGTATGTGAGATTTCTGCAATTAAAGAGATTAATTGCGATCATTTGCATCGCATGATTAATATTTAAAGAATTTCCTCGAAAATTAGTTGGCTAGTTCGAGCGCTAATTAAGCGATAAACACGATCGCCAGTCGCGACGTCAGAAAACGGGTCGGAATATCCTTTTCGCTTGTCACCTCGATCGAAAATATAAATCGTCGCGGACGTACGCAGAGATATTTGGCACCTCGGTGTTGTTGCTTGCTCATTTTGGCACAGGTACAACCCTGTGTCGTCAGCTTCGCCGAGCTGCGAAATTGAGAGAACACCTGGTGCCAAGCTGGCGAAATCGACATTTTGGGTCAGCTTAACTTTTTGAGCACGTTCCACATTTTTTGACAGATTACGGAAATTCTATTCGTGCCATGCTGTCTCAGTCGGCAAATTCTTGCTTTTTGTTTTGCACTGAGAGAAGCATTATACACATTACACATGCATTACACAAGCATTACACAATTCTCTCTTAGAGATTGAATAATACACACACATTAGAAAGACATCCAAAAGGCGTTTTTTAACATTGCAAATATCTTTCAGACACATCTCTTTAGACGCCTTTTCGATTTCTCTATCTGTTTAAAGTCTCACCAAAGACAAAAGTGATGTCAATTTACAACAGACTCGATTCTATCGACTTGAAATTGAAAGTGCTCGATGCAGATGTAATATAATGAGATCGTTGCTACAGCAAACAAATGTCTATCATTTTTCAGGAGACTTATACTACTATTATTCGCAGCCAGTTCCACGATTTCACTTTACCAGCCCGTGGTATAATAAACGTACCACGCATTAAACGAAAAAAGTGAGCGATAAAGAGATTAAAGTGGCCGAAGTGTTCAATCCCTCGCACCCCATTTACTCGTTTAATAAGTCAAACCGATCAGTAATCATACAATCAATCGGCAAGGAGAGCCGTGGTGGCGTATCACGATTTATTCACGAAAAAAAAAGAAAAGAAAACTGATCCTCCGTTTGTGCCACATTAAAGCCATATTATACTCGCCAATTAACATGCAAGTAGATAGATGAGTGATCATACAATGTGTATATACATACATCTGTCTTCGACAGCTGTTTGAATGAGAAAGACACTGGGTGTCTTTTAACCCTTAGGCTACCACGTGTATTCCCGATGTTTCAAAAGTGTAATTTACAATATCGATGTTCTCTTACACAACAACCGGAAATCCGTCTCTCTTCCCCCGATCATACGTACTCGTGTATTAACTCGATTGTTTTTTTTTCTCTTTAAATGTTTTCCCCAGATTGCGTTATCGCTACAAGAATGTTCCTTAATCCTCGCGGTAATTATTAATTACCGAGCTGTTTACTCTCCGTTCTCTGCCAAGAAGTCGCTGACACAATCTCTCTCGAATACGCGGTACGTGCGATTTATCTGTCCCAATCGTGAAATAATTGTTTGCAATAGTGATTAAAAACTCCATTCCGCAAAACTACAATCGCTGCTTGATACACACTTGTCATTTACTGGTTAACACTAGAAGGCTTCAAGTTAAGATATCTTGCACAAGTTTTTCAAATAGCTGGAACTCTTATCTTTTTTTCATAAAATTTAAATTCTATCTGCTATCAATAATAAAACATATAAAAAAGTATTTTTGCAAGTGTTTTACTAATTTATAAAATTCAACTATGTTAATTCATAAAATTCGATTACGTACACTAATTTATGAAAGAAAAATATACAGAAGTGATAGCACTCTCTTTCAAAATGGCATAAATTATATCGTACCTTCTAGCGTTAAAGTCAGCATATCGCGATTATTAGCAAGCCTCATAGTATTCATTGCTTATGAGATCGATGTTTAGCATAAAGACGCGAGCCGTTTTCGGAGGCTGTCCTCGAAGACAGAAGCGACAGTCTAATCAGAAGCGTCGTAGCCAAAGGGTTTCGTTAACGAAACATCATCCTAATTTGATCACAACGACTTGTATACGATTTAGAAGCCTGTAGATTTTACGAAAACATCTTCATATATTTTCTTACTTATTCCTTCTTCACTTTTCCCTCAACTAATGTATATTCAACATCATATTTTGAATTCTCAAAGACTCTTGTGTATTGAATATGTCTCTAATACCTTCAGACAAGTGTGCTGGAGGAAACCTCGGGTCACGGTGTAATATTTCTATTTTTGCTATGCTAAGCTAATATCAATATATGTATTATTGCGTAGAGAATAGTTCACATATTTATATAGTTTGCTACAGCTTGCTGTCAAAACTAAGCTCACATCTACCATATTAGCTAGATTGATATTAATGCCCCATATAACATTATCGTATTTATATTCGTTATCGCTATCTTATATATCAAAATGATTCATTATTGTGTTACAGTCGAAACATTACACCGTATACAACGAGGTCGTGTAAAGACCTATGAGTTTTCTAATATTTAACTGTACATAGTGTATGACAATTTCATTGTTCTATTAAATTTTGTCAAGGTTCCTGCAGGATGTAAACTCCATGAAAAATTATAGATTAATTTTAAACGTAAAAGATGTCAAAAATTTTTTACTTCTAAAAAATATCGCTTTACGTTTATAATACCTTTTCCAGCAGGAATCTCGAAATTAGGCTCTAATGGAAAAATAATTAATCAAGATTTTTTCAATTTATCTCGACATCGCATTGATAAGCGTGATTAATCTCAAGCCTTATCATTTCTCAAATATTGTTTCTCTCATTTTTAATATTTTTCCACAAGAGCGTGAAAGATTGTCACTTCATTGTTTGATCAACACGTCTCTCTTTTTGCAGCTCACGTCTACTGATGACTGTCTGGTGCCGTACAGAGAAAGCGTGAAACAAAATAAAACGACGAAAAAAAAAAATAATGCTCGAAAAAATCAACCAAAAAAAGGAAGAGAACTTGCATCACAACCCGAAAGAATTTTGGCGTCTCTAAATCAATACACATTACCGTTTCCACGGAATTTTATTTATTAACATTTCTTGTCATGTGATTTATTTTATTGTATCGTTCATCCGTGATCTGTCTACAAAATAAAATAAACACTGCCAAAATTTTATTATACGGCATCAATTCATTTAGTTCTGTTTCATCCCCAGATAATAATTTAATAATTATAATTATGACATAATTATCATTTTAATTATGTTTCCTTATGATTTTAATTTCGAAACAAAACATTTCACATAATCATATTTAATTTGAAAAATACAATTATTTAATGATTCCGATAAGATAAAAGAACATCATCAAAATATGCGACTTACTGAGATGTAAATAATAATCGGAATGAGATGTATCTCATATGCAAATATATGCAAATATGATAGATTCGTGCATTACCTTCTTTTCGGAGAATTAGGAAAGAACAGTCTGGATAGAGAGATGAATTTGAAAGAAAGATTTGTACAACAATATGCATGTTTATTATCTGAAAGTTTTATATCTCTAGGATGCCATTGCATGGCGCGTTCCGTCGTCGACAATTCGAACGATGTAACAACCCTCGTGATAGTCGCAAACTCCTTTCACGAGAGAGCGTAGCTCTCTCTTCCTTTCTCTTTCTCTCCCTTTTTTTTTAATTTAAAGCATCGTCGAATCACGCAATCGGCCAACTCTTTACAAATATAATATCTGTATATAATATATGAATCTCCGACAAAACGCATATCGAGAGGAATCACAACCGCTCCTTTGACAATAATTAATATCTCCCATTCTATCATTTTTTTGTGGGGAGAAACACAGGAGGAAGGAGGTGGCAAGGACATATGATCGTCATCTGCGCGTTCCAGAACGTAACAAATTTGCACACATCGCATCTCTTTCCTTCACTTTTTTTGTATATTGAACAATAAACTGTTATCTTTGTCTCGATCGCTATCAATACATTTCAATAATGCTAAATAACAATCAAATAATTAGTAACGATATGAGTGCCGATCGTAGCGTCGTCGCTTCAACGGAAAGACTCATTAAGTTTGATTGATCTTTCAGATCGGGGTAAGCTCTGGGTTTTTTTTCATATTTCCAGATCGTCCTTTTCTCGAGCGTATAACAGTTCGCACAACACGATCGTTAAACGTCAGTCTCTATTTGGGTTGTCAAATGCGCTCTATCGATGCTTTGTCGTTATTAATTTTGACAGCAAATTCATCGTTTGTATTCATGAATCTTTTTCCTGTGCTCTGATAACAAATATTAAATCTCTAGAAGACACAATTGCGCACATTATTAAGAAAGATATCCCCGATATGGATACAACCTCACACATCTCTATTATCTATTTGATCGATCGCTGCTTTTTTCTCATAGAATATTGTAAATTTCCTTTCTGGAACAATGTTGTGTACACACATAATTTATAATATTTCTTTGTACATATTGCGGTACAATTTGTCGTAATGTTCGGCGATTCTTGTCAAAACACACATTTTTTTCCAGATGCGACTTTTGTCGCGCAAACAATTGCAAGCGATAATACAACGTCGAGAATATAGAACGAGAATACAGCGGAGATGTTAATGTAACAAGCTAATTATTAACAATTTGTGAAACAACAGCTGGCGAAGATTTCTACAACGCATCCAGAGTTACGTGGAACACGTGAATGACCGAAAAACTTATGAACAACAAAAAAGATCGATGCGCCATACACAAATGAATGTATTAGAAATGTTTAAATAAATGCATTAAAAAACTTGCCTAAATGCGCCATCGTACGTCTCTCTGTTAAGAATAAATGAGCTTCAACCTATAACGTGAAAATCCTGTCTAAATAACTATAAACACATAGACATATCTCATATCAAACAGAAGTTTCAACTCATCGAAATAGAAATTAATGATCCGCCTATTTGATAACACCATCACTGAAACTGTTTGCGCGATCCAAAGCAATCACTTTAACGATATGCGACAAATCTTTACAAATCAAACGACAAATATTCGCTTTTCTCACCAGCGTGAGAAGAAGCTCGCGACTATGAGATTCTGTCACTAAATACCTTTTTTTTCTGTCTATGACGTGTCGCGTTTTTGTTTCTTTTTTTTTCGCGATCCCCTCTTCTTCTATCTCTCGAATAAAAGTATAATCGACAGAGAGAGCGTAGAGAAGCGTCGTTTTAAAAATACTGATTCCCTGTATATAACTTGTTTATCTCTCCGAATTGATCACCCGATAATAAATAATCTAATTCATCTACGACATATCTCTGGAACAGGCAGTTATTACCACGCTCGGAATACTGCACATGATGATATAATTAAATTTATATAATGGATAATAGTTTAAAAGAAAAAGGATAAATGGTCAAAAAAATATATATATATGTATATGCATATATATCTATCTATATACACGCGCGCAGCATCTCTGTGAAATGATGACATTTAAATATACACTGCATTGAGCAGTGATAGAAATAATATTTAAAAAAATAATAAAAATAATATTAATATTAATAATAATATAACAGTAAGTTCTCATAATTACACTCAACATCAACAGTGGAAGCAATAAATACAAATGAGAATGATAAAATGCTTTTTAAAGAGCGTTATCTTTATAAAGAATCACTCTATTTATGGAAGATGTCACCGAATAATGCAATCGCCGCGAAAATTTGAGAGCAACCCTTCGTCAAATACGATGTTAATCAAAGTTTATATCTGCCGTGGATACAATTTATAATTCTAATTTTGTTGTAATTAAAGAGGTAAATTTTTTCCACATTTTACTTAATGTTTTTATTCGATTAAATTAGTTCTAAATTTTAACGTCTTCGAAACACATGAAAACCAAAGACGAGATCAGATCTGGCATCCGAGACGAAGTGCTCGGTGTTTTTGACAGGCGTAGCACATTAACAATTTTTGCAAGCCTGTTTGTCCGTATGTGACGTGTCGTAAATCAAATTAATGTATCTTTACCCCATAAATCTTCATATTTAAATCGTATTCGCTCCGGAGTGCGTCATACATGTATACGTGTTGGTAATATCGCGTGCTAAATATAACACTTAAATCATCGGCGAATCATTGCGCGAACTTAAAACACATCGAGTAATGTTCTACATTTCACTTCCTTCCGCTCTCTTTCTCTCTCTCAATCTTTCCTTTCATTTCTTTTTTTCTGTCTTTTTTCTCTTTTTCTTTTTTTAACCCGATAATCGTGGGAAATAGATTCATACTAATGCACATAAGTGGTCGGCTAGAGTGATTAAGTAAGCTTCGATAAGCATAAAGCAGATTTACCTAGCATGATAGCCTCCATTAAGGATAATCGTGTTTGTTGCTGTGCAGGATCGGTTGAAGGCTGTCATTTCTTTTTTGCTGGATTCCTTTGTGGTGTAGATGGTCTACCTGTTTGACCTGTGTTCATTCCTCCATATTGGTATTTTGCTTTTTTTTCTGATGGTTTCAAGATCTGCGAAACAATACGAAATATGTTACGATATTGTATTGACGACAGAAAGACCGACGAAGAAAGAATATATCTATATATATGAATGCATATAGATTACTTGAAAGCTGCACATCAAGGTTTCGTCGACGCTCATCATTCCGCCGGCATTATCGAATTCGCCACAATAGTTTGGTGCGGAAAATAGCGTGACGAGTTGTCGTTTGGCGAAGAATTCGTAACCGTCTTCGACCACCTGATGCGCTCTGCATATAAGATCCATATCGTGACGATTCAGGAACTTCGACACAACATCTGGACCGAATGTAAACGAGACACCTCTATCGTTTTCACCCCAGCCCTGAAACAACAAGCCATTATATAATAATCGTTTCATTATCAAATAAAGTTAATTTAATAATTGGTCACTCTTCCATAATGTTCATTGCATTTCACCTGAACATCTTTATCGGGATCGGACCATAAGAGATCACAGAGGAGACCGGTATCAGGTACATCAGTCGGACGCATAATTCTTCTGATTTGCTCCATTCCCTGAAACAAGCAAAAAATATATATGCATACATACGCTGTGCGTATATCTAATTACGCTCTTCAAAAATCGATTTATTAATCACCTGCAGATCAGGACTGAGTCCGCCATGGCAGCAGAAGATTTTCTCGTCGATGATCGCGGCGATCGGCAAACAATTGAAGCAATCCGTGAAGGTTTTCCAGAGCTTGATGTTGTACCGTCGTTTACATTCGTCGTAAAAGCCGTATATCCTGTTTATGCTCGCGCACTCGTGATTGCCGCGCAGCAGGAAGAAATTCTCCGGATATTTGATCTTGTACGCCAACAGCAGACATATCGTCTCCAGGGACTGCTTCCCTCGGTCCACGTAGTCGCCCAGAAACAAGTAGTTCGCCTCGGGCGGAAAACCCCCGTACTCGAACAGCCGCAAAAGATCGGTGTACTGGCCGTGTATGTCACCGCAGATTTTAAGCGGCGCTTCCAGCTCCAGGAGGATCGGCTGCTGCAGGAAAATCTCCCGGGACTTGAGACAGAGGCCGCGAACCTCGGCCTCCGTCATGATGACCGTCTTGCCCGGTCGACATCCTCTGACTGTGTTGGCAGAAATGTTTCATCGGTTAATCGCGTTAACTTTTTCTTGAGACGAGATACCCGGACGACCGCTTTCTCTCTTCCTTAGTGCGATGCATCAGTGAATCTTTCTTCATGTATACGCGTATATTATTAATTTAAAAAAAAAATACTAAATAAAAATGTAAATATATGTATACGGCGACTTTATTCGCGGATATGATTTTACGGCTAATTTCAATCTTTTCTCTTGAACGCCTTTATGTCAAGATAGGAGTCTATCTTTAACATGTAAGAACAGGCGGTCTATCTCCGGAAAAAAATCGATAATGCCATTGTTACACGTATAATTAGTGTCGCTACTTAAACCGCATTACTTATACCGTTATGAGCGTATTACTCCTTCTGGAATTACTCGAGCGTGATACGCCAATAATATCATTATCTCCCGTCAAGTTTCTTCATACGTCTCTATTGAATTGTGCATTATCTTCTCCGAATAGACGCTCCATTATTACGCGCGCTTACGCAATTCCTTGGTTCGCGCATATGTATGTGCATATATATGGCAAGAAGAAAAACAATAGAAAAGAAAAGAATACGACCGAGGGACTATACATCGTGTCATTCTTGTCAAGTCACTCATACCGACTTGCAAATGTCGTAAAATCGATAATGACACCTAAAATGACGCATCTTTGTGTCCATCGCACTAATAGAGAAAGAGAGAGGAACGTCGAGGTACTCTATTTTTCGTCTTGTTTTTAAACAGATACACCGAGCATAACTCTACTTTGGGGCGTGGAAGATGAAGTCAATTGAAGTTCTGCCGATATCGGCCGTCTCAATAAACAGGGGTGAGAGATACACGATTACGGTATTACAAGATTTTTACGGTGAGGCCGGATCAACCTTATTTTGCCTATTCTCGAGCACTTTGCACATGAGTCCACGCGATACTTCCGGCGTGATCTACGGTGATATCGCATCGGCTATAATAGCGTCAAAGGCGTGAAATTACTGATAAGCTCGTTATAGGCAACGGGGGGATAATGTCTCGGGAAAAGAGAATCTCTGACAGGTTATTACACGAATATAACGGAAACCTAGAATATTACTCGACTATAAATTCTGGGTCGTGGTGCAACACTCTACACGCGCTTCAAGCTCTTTCTGGGTTTCCTAAAACTCTATTACATCAAATTTCGCTTAATCACGACGCCACGTGTATGGTATAAATGCATCAGTGAATAAATTTATACGCATTTCTATCATCAATTCAATGAAATAACGTAATTACTTGTTTACGAAATTATTTGTCAGTTCAGTTATAAATTAAATAATATGTTGAAATTAGGAGAAAATAGAAAATGTAATCAAAACGTATTCAATATTAATTAATTATCAAATAAAAATATATAATTTAATGTTTTCAGAAGAAAATATATGTATATTTTATAATATTAAATATATACATATGTATATTATATTTTTCTATTTTTCCCAATTTCAATAAATTATTGCTTTAATTTATAATTAACAAGTAACGTCGTAAACACGTTACTTACATTATTTTATTTCTTTTGAAAATAATTAATTTTAAATAAATCTTTTTTGTTATAAATTACTCGATATATTGATATTTAATACTAAATATATATTATATTTTATATTAAATATTAATGTACTAAATATATATACATATTATATTTTTCTATTTTTTCCTAACTTTAATAAATTAAAAATAATAGTTTTAAATAATTCTTTTTTGTTCTACATTAATCGGTGTATTAAAAGGCTTTACACTTTAAATGTGAATATAGTAATACGATTTTTTCGTTCAATGAGAAAAGGTGATTTATATATAGAACTTGTTTTTCGCAGAGTAAAAATTCACTAGTGCATTTAATCTCTAGTCTAAACGTGTCGAATATCTATGGATGACGTCGCTCGACTATATAGCTCTAAAGCGTTAATAAGCACGAAAAGGCACAGAGAGGTGATTTAACCGACATCCAGTGGAGATCATCCCTCTTTATAACGCTATGGATATGTCGTCGGACTGTTTATTTATAGGCGTAAAGGGGAATTCACGGTGCTGCGGCTGAACTGGGCCGATACTGGTTATTGGAAAACTGCATATTAGCAAGGTCACGGCGACCATAGAGCAGAGATGCAGAGATTCCGCTATATATCCGCGGAGAAGAAGGAGAAACTATTGTCAGACTATGCTGCAACGTATGCACACATATGGACATTATATTGCAGACGGAACTTGCTGAAAATATCACTCTGGAGTCATCAAGTGCTTAAAATAAGCGCACCGAAAAAATCAAAACAAATGTCTTTAGAAATCTGAAACCGCTCGATAGCGATGCATAAACATGCATAAGCATTTCTCCTCGCGTATACATCATAACAACTCTGACCATATATGATTCGATTCGTATATGAAAATTTATAATTACGTTTATTAATTATAGATTATTGATTTTTCAAATAAATTCATAAAATTCAATATAAAAAATTTCCTTTTTATAGCGATGATTCTTCTCTTAAATATTCATGTAAATGTTAATTTAATTTATATTAAAATTTCGAAACGAAATCTAATGTATATTCATCCGATGATCCAATACGTATATACGATATCCGATAGATAAATCCGGCCTGTCGTATAAACTACCGTGTACTTGCAAAGTGATGGAAAGAAAATGATAAATTAGAAATAACTTGTCCCTGAAGAGGTTAAAAATAATTGTAAGGTCTCGTTAGCGGATGACTCTGGAGTGCGAACTTTGTATCGCTTCAGGGACACGCGACGAACATGGTTATTAGCGTAATTTTCAGTATTAAACGTGTGTTATCGCGTGATGATATATATTTGAGAGATCTAATAATATAATAAACGTCAGGTAGCTCACTGAGGGAAATTCTCGTTATCAATATCATTTTCCTATACCATATATCACTTTATTTAGACAACACTTTTATATATCGCGTAGGCGTCAAAGATAAACTTCTTTGTGTTGATAGAGGAAAGACTAAGAATCTAAAATAATTCGTTCCTGAAGTGATAAAAATAATTCGTTATTATCGCTGCGCGGATATTTAATTTTCATCAGTAAGACTAATAAAAGAATAGATTTCCTGTTCTCAAAATTACCATGCATGTTTTAAATTAATAATTGCAGCTTTTTATCATGATATACATATGTTCTTTTCTTTTCTTTTATTTTTTAGTAATAGATAACTTCATAATAAATACGATATTCATTAAATTATTAAATATTTATTTTTCTAATGTATTATTTTAAATTTGCATATTATATTTTTTTCCAAAATTACGAATGCATTAATTAATTCATGCATTAATTAATGCATTATTAATTCAATATTTAAGTATTAAAACTATTTGATATAATGGACATTCATTAATTATATTTTAATCTAAACGATATATGTGAAATAATATAATCTTTATTAGTAAGATTAATCAAAATTGTCCAATCAATAATTGCTGTTTTTGTGAAATTAATTTGAATTGCTCTTTCTTTTATTTTATAATGATAGATATTTTATAATAAATACGATATTCATTAAATATTTATTTTTCTAATGTATTATTTTAAATTTATATATTGTATTTTTTCATAATTACAAATGCATTAATTCAATATTTAAATATTAAAACTGATAATAGGGGATTTTATGGAATTATATTTTAATCTGGGCAACATAGTTGCTTTTAAAGCAATTTGTAGATGCATTTTGGATAATGATGAATCATGCGTGTGCTGATAAGAGGCATCGCGGTTTCAATTAAAAATACTTAACGTTTAAGCTGATTAAATCTACGTATCATGATAATTCGAAATCGATTTAATAAAATTTCTTAATTTGAAAGTCACAATTATTATTTTTTATGAAATAGAAGAGAACGTTTCATACCTAAATAACAAAATGTAGGATGGAGATATATATGTATGTAATAATATCACACCAAAAAGTGTATGCACGAATTACGCCGCGAATTATGTTTTATAAATACACATCTATTATACTAAAGCGTGCTCTAAACTAACATTTAGGCTAACAATTCCAGCCAACACTGCTCGAGTTTTTACGTAGCTAAAGCATTTCGAGAGGGTTACGTGCGAGAGGAAGAGGAAAAAAGGAAAAATCCTAAAACGTCGACGCAAATTGCGTCGACAAAAATCCAGAAATAATTTGAAATCGTCCAAAAATAGAGGGGGAGAAAAATCTGTGAAGATACTCTTATTTTGAATAATAAATAGAGATGAGAGTTGAAATGTGTAATTATCGTATTTTTAAGTTTAGTAAGAGAAGATTAACAGGATCGACGATCAAGAAGGAACGAGATTACATTGCTAAAAAAAGGAAAAAAAAATCGTGCAGGATCGACATTTCGCTCGAGAAACAATTAAAAAAACAAGAATCGACAATTAAACGCGCGCGCATTTCATCAAAAAATAACGATGGCTCGTAATATATATCGTAAGATTAATTTAAATTTAGCACTAAACATTATTAGATTTCTTTTTTGAATTAATAATTTTTTTTTTCGAATGACGCAGAGAGAAAGAGAAAGAAAAAAAAAAAGGAGAGAAAGAGAGAGACCCGCGTCGCTTTTAACAACGCTATCGTCCTTTAAACGTGACGTCTTACAACAGAAACGTAAATATAGACCAAAAGAGAAGACAAATCGATAAAACGCGTTTTAGTCGCCCGAATGCGCGACTGTTACATTTTGGACGAGCACGTTTAGAGATGTTGCACCATTTAAGTTGCTCCGCGTTCGTCTTGACACTTGAAAACGTCAAACGTCAAACGTCAAACGTCAAAAAGAATGCAGCCGCGAATATGATAAACGGATAATAATACAAAAGAAATGAGAGTCTGCAAGAATCCTAAAGCAAAAACTAAACAAACGCAGAATATATAGCTCTACGTATAGGAGCGGGGGCGGGGGCGAGGGGGGTAGAAGGGGCCGGGGGGGGCGGGAGGGGAGAGGTTTCCTGTTGTTTTGCTGTGGTGACGTGTGGTGGTGGTGATGACGGTTATTGTTGTTATTAGTAATTGCGTACCGACAAAGTCCGACGAGAAAATATCTTTTAGCTTGGCTTTCTTCTGAACCTGGTCTTTCTGCGTGTGGTATACTTTACCGCACAAGGGGGTATCCGCATTCGCGTTAGCATGAGAGAGAGAAACAAACAAAAAAGAGATTTGTTTTTTTTTTCTTTTTCTGCGTCTAATAAAGAGAACGAGGATATATAAAAAGATTTGTGAAAAATATCGCGCGCGATGAATCGGCGGTGGCGTAAAAGCGAGGGTGATGCGGTGGCAGGTTGCCACGGAGGGGGAGCGAGGGGGGAGGGAGAGGGTGATCTCTTTAAATCGTGAGAGAGAGAGAGAGAGAAGACGGAGATATACTGACAGGTATAAAGTGAGAGGACGAATGTGAGCGAGACAGCGAAAGATAGGAAGATAGATAGATAGATAGATAGATAGAGAGAGAGAGAGAGTGAGAGAAGAAAAGAAAGAGATGAAAAAAGATAGAAAAATAAACGTAGCGGAACTCGGAGCGGAAAGAGATACGCGATGAACGGTCCCTTGAACTTCTCACACGATTCACGATATCGCGACGACGATGACCGCGACAACAAGGAGGTACACACGACGGGGTCACGCAACGGGTCGAGATCGATATCTCACCTCGTACGTTTATTTCATTATTATTTTTTTCTTTTAATCCGATCGACCGAGGGAAGTCGCGCAACGACGCAGTCTAGAGAAATCGTTCGTCTCAAATCGCCCCGACGAAGGCCATCGACAACGGGGACAAACCGGAGCAAGATATGTAACAAAACGTGTAAATATATATATATATATATATATATACGCATACGCGCGCACGCACACAGACCCGCGCGAAACGTGAGCGAGTCGTGTTGGAGGAAAACTTGTGTCGACTCCGAAATCCGGTGCGGATCCTCCTCGTCGCGGATGTAAGACGCGAGGACGACGGCTCGGCGGTGATATCGCGGCGGGTGGACGCGCGAGGACGAGGCGAAAGCGCGCTTCTCGCGCACCGGCCGTCCTCTCACAAATATCACGTACCTTCCAATAATCTCTGTATCAAGTTGTCGATATTCAAGTCGACATCCGCCATTTTTTCCTGCCACTGACTGACTAGCCCGATGTTCGCGGACTGGCTCGTACTCCGAGCCTAGCGCGCGCATTTGCCTCGCGACATCGTCGCGAACGGGAGAGACGCAACGTCGACGCGCTCGGGTGTACGTACTGTTATCGACTGCCGGTTTGACGGGGTGGCGCGGCTTCGAGTGGTGGGGGAAACGCCGCGGTGACGTAGCACGTACGTCACCGCGCATGCGCGTGTGTTCAATTTTACGCCGTAAGAGTTGCCAGCCGCGCGACTCACCAATCAGCACGATGGAATCTTTGTCCCCTTTGTCAAATAAACGTCAAATAGAACACACTCGACATTCGATATTCGGTGGATTTTTCTAAGATTAAAATTATTCAATAACTTTCGAAGATCTGTGGAATTTTTGTCCCCTTCGTCAAATAAATAATGTCAAATAGAACACACTTAACATTCAAAATTCGATCATTTTCTAAAATTATAATAAAAAATTATTCAATAGCAAACTTTCGAAGACCTGTAAAAATTTTTCTAGAAATGACGGTTTTTTTCTCCATTAGAAATGCAACATATTATTGAATAATGATTGTTTAATATTTTTGATAAGCAAAATTGTCAGGTTATTTAAAATGGCAGTATATACGATTGCACAATAAATAGAATCAGTCAATAATTGTTACACATGTGCGTGATTTCTATATAAAATATTCTACATAAGATTAATACATGTCTTCAAGAGTATAAATGAATTTGCGAAATAAGTTTACGCACTTTGATGATTTAACCATACTTTCGATGATAATCTGGTGGTGGATCTGTATAATCTTGTTGAAGATTAAACAGTTCGGCATTATTCTTTTGCAAATATTGCAAGAAGTCATGGAAATGTGACAGTAACAATTGTATACTCCTTTCATCTAATGGCGTATAGGATAGCATACCACCAAGTCTCACTGTAAATGTAAACATTAAATTGTCATTAATAATTAAAAAAGAAAAAATTGTTAAGATTTTGTGAAAAGCGTATGTTACCGAATAGTCTGAGTAAATGAAACGCTCCATACAACTGACTCGGCAAGGTTTCCGGATTGTCATTCGTTATCTGTATAAATTGTGGACGTTCCCATTTGTATAGCAATTGAAGTCCTAACGTAATATTAAAATATTCGCGAATACCTTTTGTTATTTCCAATGTGCTTTCCCTAAAACAAAAAATATTAATTTATTAATCGTACATTTATATATGCAATGTTAGTTGTAGCAGCATATAATGATAATATTTAAATATCTAATTCTCAATTCATATTATACCTAGTATCATTTGTTTTTCCAGCTGATTTTGTTTCTACATAATCATCTAGAATTTTGTCGACTGTATTTTGTACGGGTAATGCAGGTAACTTATGGTGTTTCAATATTACTTCAGATTCGTCTATTAGCACAAACTTTAATTCTTCAGGTAATTTTATTTTAACCTCCACTTTGGTGAGATATTCTTCAGTTTCACTAGATGGTTCCAATCGACTAAAAAAATAAAAAAAAAAAAAATTAGTTTCTTACAATCAACTATGTGTATGATTGACAGACACAAGAATGTTAGATAAGTTATGTAACAAACCTCCGTTTTTACGAGTAGGTTCCGATGTGGACTCGTGAGAGGACGAAGCTGTCACTGTACTACTTGTACCCTTACTAAAACGACTTATACTTTTGTCAGCTGTTGAAACAGGAGTGCTCGCTCTACTGTCCGTATCTTTCTCTCTACCACCTTCGCTCCTTCTCCCCTGTGCTTTAGCTGTTGTATTTCCCTTTTTATTCTTTTGAGCAGATTGTTGAGTCGAATGTGCTCTCTGAACTTCTCTTTGTCTTTGTACATTTGCTTCGTTGTATTTCAACACTCTGCTTTCCGGAACCCATTCATCCCAGCTATTTTACAAGAACATAATTTAGCACATACATAATTACATAACATAATTTACTAGCTTAAATTTATTTAATAAAAGTGTAGCTTAATAAAAATATAATCAATCAACTGTATATACATATATGTAATTTCTTCTCGTACATATCTTAACATAAATTTATATTTTATTTAAAACTTGTAAAAATTTGTGCAAAAATATAGAACAAAATTTCTCATATTTATACAGTTTTCAATATTTTTATTCTCACAGATTTGTAACGGCTTGTTTATGATACTAGAAAGGTATATTTTAACTTTATAAAAAGATACATCTGTATCAGCAAATAATATGGTTTATCTATTTATAAGGACCTTACTTACTTTTTATTCCAGCCTGCATAATGAATGAAATATTTAATTTGCTTTTCCTTAGTAATGGAAGACTTCAAGCATTTTGCTTCGTAAATCAGTGGCCCATGAAAGCACAAAACTTTTTCTCCTAAGAACATATAAATCATAATGTGTGCAAAATTAATGATTCATCAAAGAAAATACAAAAAAAATTTAACATCTATTACTTTAAGATAATTTACTAAACGCTACAAGAGTCAATTTGTAAAAAGGATTGCAAATACATACCTTCTTGAAATTTACATTTCGGCGGCATTTCGAGCAACAATTATTTTAATTAAGCTATCCTGCGTTCTTGACAATTATATAATGAATTAGCAACGACAGAAAATTAGTAAAAATTATAAAATTTTATGACCACGTTCCCAACAGTCGTCTTCAATCTTCACTTGAATGTATCGGTTTTAACAGGTTATGCCCATAAATGCGTCATAAAAGCACCAAATGACAATTTCATCAGTATTATTGAAAGATAGATTTTATTACATAATTATCTCTCTAGAATAAATATAGAATGCCATTTAATTAAATAAAAATTAATAAGCATAGAAAAACGGCGATAAACGTTAGAAAGAGAGAGAAAAGAGAAAGAAAGAAAAAAAAATCCTATCCAATAGCCAATCGTAGAAATCCAGAGAAAGCCTAGGAAATTTTTGAATGAACGCTTCCTCGAGCCATTTGCAGCATCAAGTGCATCTTTCTTCATATTATATGTAGTTTATGCTTGTTCTTACTCTTCAATACTCTTCATCTTGTACTGTGATATATGTGCATGATGTTGTTCAATGTTTTGTCGCATTTTTTCTAGTTTATTTAATTCTCAATTTATTACGTACATTATCTTTCGTCAATCTTATAATTATACGTGTAGTGTAAAGTGAGGTATGACGTTGATAGTTAAGTGAAAACTTGATTAAAAATGAGTTTCAAAAAGTTTCTATCATACTGCTTGTGAAATTCAGTTATCGTGCTCCGTAAACTTAGTCTCTTAAAATCGCGAATGACAGTATATTATTGCGTTTCGCGCGCTTTTCCAGCATTTTCCCGCCATCGATGAGACTCTGCTGAGGCGTCGTTCAATTGATGAGTAATTTATATAATTGAATTTATTTTAATAATTTTCGATTATACGGTCTTTGTGTAACGTATCAATTGTTAACACGTGGTCACATTATACTGTTGTCACTCGCGCAGCGACACTCAACTCAAACAACTGATAAGCAAATGACAGGCATCGTATTTAAATACGACGAATTTTTGATACACAAATAAAGCGAGCGAAAATATTTGCTCCGAAATAAATTGTCATCTCAATATACGAATTATTGAATGGTACTAAATCGTACCAATTAGTAAATAATTGCTCGAAATAATCTAATAATTTATTAGAGAGTCTTAATATTTCTATCGTAATATTTCTCGCAGTCGTGCTTGCAAATTAAATATGCATAATATTAAATATTATATATTATATATTAAACATTATATATAATATATTATATATTATTTATAATATATTATTTATATTATATATTATTTATAATATATTATATATTAAACATTATATATAATATATAATACTAATTAAAGTAAAAACTGCTGACATTGTTCCAGAGTTCGAAATATCGTATTTAATTGATAAAATTTATTTAGTGTCAGATATCGTTTAATAATTTTCGATTGATAAAATCTGACAATCTTCTAGAAATCGCATATGATTGTGATGATTATTTTATATAAATTGTAAAGTAGGAAAATATATATTAATTTATATATTTGTGATCATTTCTAATCAATAATTCTGATTAAACATCTTGCATAACCTAATGAAATATCGGTCTCCTTTGACCTGCGCTTGAAATTTAAACTGATAGTACCAAAAATCTACAGTCATTTTTCATGCCAAGCGCGATATGGCGGGAAATGCTACTTGATTGTATAAATGTGTCAGTCGATTGTTTAATAAACATCCAGTGCAAAATGTGTTACGTTTTGTGTTAACATTATTTGTGTGTTAGTATTATTATTAAATGATTTATGTTTAAGATTTTCATTTTCACGTGCAGATTTACAATATATGTGTAGAGTTGTACATTAGAATTAGTTTTTCAAGGTTATGTTGTTGTGGTTTTGCCGATAGACATTTTTCTGATTCATGAGATTAAATGTTTATTTTATTGGAATAAATAGGTTTTAATAACGATGGAGTTCGCGGCCACACAAATCTATGAGGATGACGATGATGATGTTCCACCCACTCAGAGAATTTCACATACTTCGGACAATGAAGAGGAAGAGCTGGTACAGGTTAGAGGGCATTATATATTTATATATATATATATAATTGTTAATTTTATTATATATTTATATTTATATAATTATATAATTGACACATTATATATTTATTGTTAAATGCATTTTTATAGTTACGCTTTAATGATGGAATAATAACAAAGAATAAAAAGAAATTGTGTTGATTAAACATCAATTAATTTTTAAAAATTATGACGTTTTTAAATAAAAAGTTACGATAAATAATTTCATTAAATTCATATTATATTATATATTTATAATTTCAATAGATTATTAATTGTAAGTTCTATTTGTTAAGTTCTCTTGTTAACTCCTTTTCAATATGTTGAATTAATATTTTACATTTTTCAAAAACAATACATACTTATAATTATTTTTGATGAAGCCTTTTATATTTTGTTAAATAATGTTATATTTTGTAATTATTCAGGTTGGAACGTTACACATCAATTCCATGGAATATAAAATTAACAAAGGGATCACAACAATCGGTAGGCTTAAAAGCTGCAACATTGTTCTAAATGATGTGGTAAGCCTTAAAATTATATCTTATAATTTATAGTTAAATTTTTTAATTTTGTGCTAGTATTGATCGATTAAATTTATTTCTTATAATTTATGTTAGTTTAATATTCTTCAAAGTAAGTAATAAAAAGTCATCTGTTTTGAAGAACTTTTAGATTTATTTATAAATTTACATATAAAGTATTAGATATTTATATACATATAAGATGTATATTAAGTAGCATTAGATACTCAAAGGTCTTCTTTTCTATTTTCTCTTTCAGCTTTTGTTAATATATTCTCTTTGAACTTAATTGAGTTCCAGAATTTTTTCTCTCCAAAGTTAGCACTGCTCTCCATATTAATTTTAGTAGGGTTAGCGATATGCAAATAATGATGTTGCTTGTTTGAAGGATCTAGTCTCGGCCATTTACATTGCCTAGTTTTGCGGTTCTGAAAAAAATTTGAAGAGTGAGAATTAATATGTTTATACGTCATACGGATATATTTTGTGCTTACCCGTCTGTGGCAAAAGATACCCAAAAGTCGATCAACAGTTTCTGCATATCGCTATCTTGTTGTGTTTGTGTCGCATCCATCCAAGGAGTATCTAATACATAAAACACGTCATCGCCGTGGGAGACCCCTAAACAAAAAGATATATAACATTTATAAAGTTCTTCTTTTTGAAATATAAATACGTCTCTTTCCTTTTATATATAAATTTCCAAAACATTAATTTTCAAACATAGAGTTCATGATAAACTCACCGTAATTTTCAGTAGTACCGCTCAAATCATCGCTTAAACTTTGCCTTCCTCTATACGTGAAATAATAATACCAGACTGGATTCTTATTTACTTTGGCTTGCATTTGCGCAGCCTTTTCACTATCCACCACGAAGAAACGATCACCTGCCATTTGTATCAATTCTTTCGTAGTCGATCGGTCTATTGGTTTCGAACCGAAGTAATGCTTCTTGATCAGACGAGCAGTCTCGACTTGCTTCTCTTTGGGGATGGTGTAATTAAAATTCAGGAAAAGCGGACCAAGGACGTCCCAGTTATCATTTAGGTGTTTCAGATTTTCATCTCTAGCGATGAATTCTACAATAAATTAATATCGATAAAACTCTATACATGTTTGAAAACATTTTTCTAATTATCTCATATGTTATCTTTACCAGCTACGGGCCACAGGCCCTCTTCGCTCGTTACTCCCGTAATCCAAGGTACATCCTGGACGTCACCGCTATTCACGATTTCAATTGGTGTCCTGTCGATGAAAGGCCTATCTCCAACTTTCTCGGGTACTGGCCCGTAAGGAATGAAAGGATTGTAGAAGAATGACTAAAATTTTGTAGGGTAAACTTTTCTTTTTTCTGCGTTCAAGGAAATCGCATTTTCTTTTTTTTCTCAAAATTATGAAACAAAACTCACCATAAATTTGCTTGTAGCCTGTACGATCGTTCGAGCCGGACGATATCTCAAACACTTTATCATATCTCTAGAGCTAGTTGTAGGACATCCCATCAAAGCACTCAGTTTTTTAGTCTTCTCCAGAGAATTATCAGCTTTTGTCCAACAATTGAACGTTGTACCGCTGAACGATATTCCACCTATATAATAATGTTAAATGTACGATGATAATCATAATAGACACGATAGACATTGCTTTATTGTAATTACTGTAATTATTTCGCGTTTGCACGCGTTATCTTGAAAAAAGTACCTCGGAAAAGTCCCGCGCTCATTTGCGATAAGTAATGATAATGCACACTTGCACCTCCGGCGCTCAGACCAACCAAGGTCACTTTATTTGGATCGCCACCGAACCACTCGATATTCTTAGATACCCAGTGAAGTGCCATATTTTGATCCTTTAGACCCATGTTGCCAGGAACTACTTCGTCTTCCGTGCTGAGGAAACCTATAATTTTTTTCATGAGTTAAGACAAAAAACTTGTTAGAAGCATGAGAAGACAAGACGAGTTTTCAAATCAGTTTAAAAATAACTATTTTTTATCATTTGCGTGTGAGATACGGATAGATTTTAATACTAGAAATATTTTTTATGTAATTCAATTATCTGATCCTATATTGTGTTGTATAATGATATTACGTACCCATCGGTCCTAGCCGATAGTTAATCGTGACAAGTATGACGTCACTATCCATTAAATATTTGGCCCCATATAACATACCACTGCCAAATTGAAAAGCACCACCGTGAATCCAAAACAATACCGGCATTTTATTTTCCGCCTTCTCTCGCACTGGCACGTAAACATTTAAATATAAACAATCTTCGGCACCCTTGACTTTATCTGCAGGATCTGGCACCATATTGTATTGAATACATGGAGAACCGAACTTTGTAGCCGATAATTCACCAGGCCATGTCGGTATTTGTTCAGGAGGCTGCGAGGAAAAAATTCTTAATTGGAAAATCTTTGACGAATTTTAATTAATGTGAGAAAAATTTTAGAAAAATTGTCGAAAGATGATTGACGGAATATATAAATTCATGTAAACATTTTTGATCAAACGTGTAAAATTAATATCTATTATTTTACGATCTTATTTTATAGAGAATGCCATTTCAAGAAACATAGCTGTAAAAACATTTGAGCCAAGAATTAATCTGTTATATGTGTGTACCTTGAATCTTAATTTTCCAATAGGTGGCAACGCATAAGGAACCCCTTCGTATGCCTCGTATTTTCTGCCATTTTGCGATGTCTTATAGTACCCTTTCAGTCCTCCTAAGGGAGTCTTCACCCTTGGAGCCGCTTCATCTGAATTAGCTAATACGGCTAAGCCTAAGCAAAGTAGGATGATGAATGACCTTATCAACATTTTCTTCAGTTATGTTGTCGTTCGTACAACTCACTGAATTGGCGCTTCTCTGCCACCGGTTATTTATATTACTTTCAGCAATCAAGCTTCTTTATCTCTTATACATCGTCATATGTACATATACTCATATTTGTAACATATACATAGAAATTAGATGAGTACCATAAAGAAAGAAATCTGATACAGTTGTATATATGAGAATTGCTCTATCTCGTGCTCTTAATTTATCGCATATGTTTCAATTATACTAATTGACATTTATTTTCGAAAAAAAGATTGATGATATTTTACAATTTGCTCTCTGAAAAAACATTTCCGTTACGTAATATATTTTCTGCAGAAACTTTTTTTTTTAATAAATAGAACATGTACAAATAAGTGCTGAAAAAGCAAGCTTAAAAGAAATTTAAAACAATCTTTTAATATTCTGTATATATAATTTTGTATTTGATTACTATACAAGATAAAATATAAATCTTGACTAAATATAATGGTATTTGATTTTTTCTTTTCAGTCAGTGTCCAAAAAGCATGCAGAAATCGAAGTTATGAAAAATCAAGGATCAAAAATTTGGATTTGCGATCTGAAATCTTCCAACAAGACGAAGCTTGATGATGTAATGAAAACTATGTATATTTATTATCAGTTTTTATCGCCTCGTATCGTTTAGCTGCTTACGTCACCTTTCAGCATAGTTTGTAGTTGCATAATTCTATCTGCGTATTGAAAGATGAGAAATTAATAAATTATGTTTAATAAATAGGTCGTGAAGGACGCAAATGCATATCTAAACTTGTCCTTGTTCGTTATCGAATGTATAACAGAATAAAAATAAGAAATTTTTTATAATTATATTTGTTCATGCAGTTTTTAAAGTTTTATTATGAAATTATATTTTGTAATGTCATTTACTTTTGCAATGAACGATATATTTAAAATATTATAGATAAGCTGTTTTCTGAAATGATAGTTTTTTTAATAAGTAAATATTACATTATCGCATGTAAACAACAAAATGCTAATATAATAAACAATAACCAAGTAGAAATTTTATAATGTGTAATTTTCATCGCGAGATATATCCGAAAACAATACCGCTGTGTTTTAGAGACAATGCATACCATAACAATGCAGCTTGCATGATAGACATAATGTTATTTTCTTGCTTTCATACTGCATTTGTGCATACTGAATATGCATTCAATTACTTATAAATTGTTCTAGTCTTATCATATTTATAATGTACATGCTAGAATTTTTAATTTGACGGGCAGTCGTATTTTATTTTTGAATTATTATCTTAAATATAAATTTTTTTCTTAATTATATCTTTTTGCTGCATGTTTCTCATCATGTTCTGATATAAGATGCTGATTAATTAATACATTTATAATTTCTGATTTAATAAAATGGTTAATTCTAACGCAATGCATATATATATATATATATATATTGTTCTGTGACATTGACATTTAAACTGAAAAAATTTAATGATTTTAATTTAAAATTGATTAAAGTAATATTGACGCAAATATAACAATTTTTGAGATCGAAAGTCAAATTTTATAAAATTTTGTATTTTTATTATGTTTCATGTTATCTCTTTGCACTTAACAAATATATTTTTATTTTATCAAATAGTTAATCATTAAATAGTATATATACTTTTCTTTAAATTAAAAAAATAATTACAAACTATTTTCAAATAAGGATTAAAAGTTCTACTATTAAGAATTTTGATAATTTTAGTTAATTACATTTTTTGCTTTTCTTTTTTATATAGGAACCATTGATACCCTCACGTTTTTATGAAATCAGAGATGGAAGTGTCATTCAATTCGGCAAAGTGAATGCGACTTATCACACATATCGTTCGACGGTGATACCAGAAACACCCGCCCCATCGCGACAAAATGTCACGGGTACAATAATTCCAAGCACTCCGGATTCATCTCTCGTAAGTATTTTGCATTCAATTAGCATCCGATTGACGACATTCGTATATCAATGTGTCTGTTTACTTTATATAGAATAATTCGTCCAGCAATGATGGATCCTTTATCTACGGGACACAAAAAGAAGAACAGAATAACGTTTTTCGGCGACCGCTGGTTCCACAACAACGTCAGTCTACAAGCATCGATAAAAAGAATATTTCTCACACATCCTCCGGTGAAAGCGACGAACAAACTACCACTGTGTCGCATGCGTCCAACGAAAACCGAGAAGCTAGTAATATATTTGATATGGAAACGCAGAAATTCGAAGAACATGAAGCATCAAATTCTATTTATGATACAGAAACACAAGTATTTCCCGCGGATACGTCCATACAAGTGAATACTAAGGCTAACAAGCAACTACAATCAAAGCTAAATGATCAAGATCAAGTAGCCAGCACTTCTGCAACAAATATTTACGATATGGAAACGCAACATTATACGAGCAAATCGGAGGCTCGAAAGAGCGAAGACAATATTTGTAAAGTACCACGGAAGAAACTTTTAATAGATATGCATGATGGGCAAACGCAAAATTATGTTGATGATACTGACAAAGATGGCAACAATACGAAAAATTCCGAAATTGATAAAAATGAGAATCAAAAGAAAAATTTAGATGAAGTTGAATGCAATATTAATGATTTAGAGACGCAAAAATTAAATAATATTGCGGAAGATATATCCAATGTAGAAACTCAATTTGAGTTAACCAGCATTAGAAATAAAACCAGAAATATATTTGATATGGAAACTCAACTTGATGGCATTGTAAATAATGATCAAGATAATACGGATAAAGATACCGCAACAAAAACTATTAATGAAATTAAGGATGATAACGTTATGCAATCATGCAGTTCCAGATCTAGTACTCCTGGATCTTTGAATTTATCATCACCGGGAGTCGATAAAGACTGTTCCTTATTAGAGCATAGCGACCATTTGCTTGAATCGTCAGATTTATTGGAATACTTTGGCGAGGGCCTCGATAAACAGGAAGAAATACAAGCATCTAACACATCCACACCAAAATCGCATGGGAAAGGTTTATTGAAAAGAGATAATACTGAAGACAACAATGAAGATAATATTTTTGACGTTCCCACTCAATGCAATAGTCGCAGACTTGAAGACAGGTCGGACGAAATCAGCGAAAAAGATGCGTCTCCAATATGCAAATTTTCGAAGGAAGACTCGAAAGAAAGCATCGATGATGAAATAGACACAAAGAAAGCTAAAAAGCAGTGTGAATCTTTAGAAATTTCGAATAAATCTTGCAGCGACAATACAGATAATAAAAATGATGCAGCCACAAGCAGTGAATCTGTAGATATATTTGATGCACTAACACAATCGAATAATTCTGCTATTAAGGATACATCAAATTCATCTGTCAATCAATTATCAAAAAACAATGAAACTGATACTGTTGTTGACTCTATGGCACCGACACAGATTATAAACAATGATGAAAATACAGATGATCAAGGCAATCTGACAAACAAGCTTTTAGGAGATATTAATAGTAATGATAACGCAATCGAAGACGGAAAAAAGAAACATGCAGACCATAAAAAAACCGAAGAATCTATACCAGCGATTGCAGATGACAGTCTCGAACAAAAACTTAGTGAAATGTTTGAGAATGTAAATAGCAACAACATTCATGAGCCATCACATATATCGACTCAGACTCTCGAAGATATTCTGGAATCGTCGGAGTGTGATAATGACTTATCTCTTAATACATATATTACAAACGAAAACCTGCATACAGATAATGTATTGCAAACGCAATTGGGAAAGAAAAATACGGATACCGAAGCGAATAATGCAGAGCTCGATTCGCAAAATTCAGATAATTATTTTTCTACTCTTACTACAAGACGAAAAAGAAATATTCTAAAAGATACGCAGGATATACTCGTAGATTCTGTGCAGAACGTAACTCCTCATACTCAAGCTTCTAATACTTCACAAATAGCTAAAGTAGATAATGAAGCGGTCGATAACAATACAGCTATGGAATTAAATAAAAGAGAAAAGAAGATCTCAAGATCAAGTAATAAACTTGAACCAACGACAGACACTTTAGACGACGATAACGTAACTGAAACTACTTCAAACCAGAACAACGAAAGAAATCTTCGACGTTCGACGAAGAAAAGAAGAGATGAAACCACGCCAGAAATAAACAGACGAGTTTTAAAAAGACACTCGGACAAAGTCAACATCGATGATATAGAAAAGGACTCGGGGAGCGTGTCCGATGTTTGTATACCTGGTCCATCAGAATATGCAAAGCGTACACGAGCATCGGACATGTATGAGAGCGACGATGACATTTTAACACGTTTACCAGCTGTTAGAATATCAGGGACGCTTTCAAATCCAGCGAGTCCTTCTACATCATCGACATCGACTATGTCTAGTCCAAGGAAAAGAAAAAATTCAAGGGCAGAAGAAGAAAAGATCCAAGACCAGATCCAAAAAAAAGAAAATAGTTCAAGATCTAATCGAGGCATTGTTAAAGGTAAAAATAAAGAGACTCTATCCTTACGGATTAAATTACACAAGCATCCTGTTGAAAATTCCGAAAAGGACGAAAGTCCAGATCGAATACACGATAAGCCATCGGTTTCCTCTCTTGATAATCATATATCTAATGCTCTTGAGACCGATGGAATAGCAAGACACGATGTGGACACTTCTGAGGATTCTGACAGCGAAACGAATTATAAACGATTCAAGCAAATGGCAGACAGAATGTTAAATAATGAACTCGATTATCTGGAACGACGCAATAAAAAAAACGTACAAGGCAAAAAAAAAAGTGCGCGTTCCTCACCAAACTTATCGAACAATTCGAAGCGAAATATTACTGATGATGAAGCGAGAAGTTTTTTACAGACAAGAGTGACGCGACACTCCAGTAGACAAAATAACAAAAGTTTGGATGTATGTCGCAAAGAAACTAACATGGAAAATGAGACCCACGATAAATCTGCGAAATCAGAAGCGAAATCTGTTGTCGCTGAAAGAAAGAGAACTTCGCAGACGATTGAAAAAGACGTCGAGCAAACGAATTCTAGGAAACGTAAAGCATATGAAGTCGAGGAAGATCCGATTCTTACGCGGGTTCGAAGAAGCACGGTGAAAACAACTATCGATAGGCAATCTCCAAGTATTCTCAATTATTTTACTAGCTCACGTTCAAATTCCCCGGTGATTGGAAGTACGAGGTCTTCCCGAAGTAATAAAACAGTACCTGAAAATGCATTAGAAGAAACTCAAAAAGCTTTAAATTTAGAAGTAGATGAAAACGTCGATTCTGGAAGACCCTTTATTAGACGAAGCAAACGTAAACTTAATGATTATCAAGCTGCAATGGATGTTCATGATGTAACTGCAAACAATGGTAATAGCAGCAAGCAAGTCCAAGCGGAAGAAAGTAAGACTGAGATAAATCTATCACAAGACAAGATTCTAAAAGTTGTACTTAGTCCTTTAAAGAGCCATAAAATTAATCCTACAGAAGATAAATCGCAAGAAGATGAATCACAAGAAGTTGAGATGATCATGGGAAGAAATCTTATTAATGTGCAAGACAAGAATTCATCAGTTAGAGAAACTAATACTGCGAAGATATTTCAAAGAAGATCAAGACTCAGGAGCAGTTCACAACTCGATGTGGATACAAAGACAGATTTGACTTCAACTGAGAGCAGTATGTCATCTGTAAGTGATTCTAATACACAATCTGATGATTCTACATCGACAGCTAATAAGCATAGAAGATTCACTAAAAGTTCCACAAAAACACAAGTTCCGAAAAAGGAGGAAATATTCAAGAAACCTATTCGAGTCAATCAGAAATCTAGTTTAGCCTTTGATTCTTCAACGGAAAATTCAGCCAGTGAAAGTAGCCAAAATAGTATAGAAAGTGATACTTTGTCGAGTTCTAGATCTTTAAAGTCAAAAGTAGCAGGTGTCAGGAAGCAGGAAAATACTTTGGTGAATCGAAGTAGAACACGTAGAATGATCAATGACAGTGTCTCAAGCATAAATACAAGTATGGAAACAACTTCTCTTTCACAAACACCTTCCACCAGAATGAGTAGAAGTATGTCTGTTTCAAGTAATTCTACGCCATCCGCTGTGAAACATAAAATTTTGTTTACGGGTATAACAGAGGATTACAGCATAATTATTAAAACATTAGGTGAGTAATAACTTAAAAAATCTTAAGATATTTGTAAATTTATTATTGACAATTATATTTATTTTACAGGTGGAAACAAAGTGGAAGACCCAGCAAAGTGTACCATTCTAGTTACTGATAAGGTTCGCAGGACATATAAATTTTTATGCGCGCTGGCTAAAGGTGTACCTATAGTAGCGATAAATTGGCTAAAAGATAGCGAATCGGCAGCACGATTTTTGGATTGGGAGAGTTACATACTAAAAGATCCTGCAGCCGAAGCCAAGTTTGGCTTCAGATTGAGAAAGAGTCTTGATAAAGCTAAGGAAAAAAAATTATTAGACGGATATATCATTCTATTGACATCAAATATTAAACAACCACCTGTAAAAGAGTTAAAAGGTAAGTTGGAACATTATTATATCTCATTATACAAAACATATTTAGCAGATTTGCGATGAGATATATTGTATTACAGATATGATAACGTCTTGTGGAGGAAAAGCTTTATTACGTCCTCCAAATAACTGGCCCGAAAATGTGGTAATAATATCCTGCGAAGAAGATTTGGGAAATGCAAAAAAAATGTTGGTGAGGGCACCGCAGACTGCTACTATACAATCTACAGAATTCATTCTGACTGGTATTTTGAAGCAAGAGACGAATTTCGAGAAGTATAGAATAACATGATTACCAGTGAATCCTTCTTCCTACTCTCCTTTGATAAAAACATCTATTAATACTCAGGTATCAAAATATTTGTATTACTAATTATATTAAGTGTTTAAGAATTAGTCTATAAATAAACAGCATTATATGCTGTTACATTCCCAGTAAGCAAAAATTGATACAATTGCAATTGTGTTAAGTTTTTATTTATTAAATTAAAAGAAATTGATTTTCTTTATAAATAAAAATTGGTGCAATTGTAATTGCTTAAATTGTTTTTCTACAAAATTCAAAATTTATTAATTCCTGAACTTTGGTTCGTATAATTAGAATTATATAATATAATAAAAAATTAATATAATGAGAAAAGTAAGATGAAAAAATTGATTTATATAAAATAAGAAACAAAAATACGTGACAAGTATATTTTTTTTTGTACGCAATGAATAAAAATTCATTTTTATTTAACTATGGAAATCTTTATTTCATAGTTTTATTTTTCAATACAATTATATTCTGATGCTTATATCAGTACACGATTTTCTCGTGTGAAAACTTGAGATATATATTTATCTTGGCAATTCTATTGATGAGTATAATCATCAATCACAATACGCAAGAATTGCGTTCTGATTAAATATTAAATATCATAATATATTCTTACGAGTTGATTGAAACTTATCAACTCGGCCCTCTTTATGTGTGCATTTTCTGCAACACTTTGCGATACGACAATACCCCTTGTTATAAGAACGAATGATAACAATAGAAGTTTATTTCGTTGAATCAGGGATATTTGTTCGTACGCGACGTATGCAAAAGCGCGCACATAAAGAAGGCTCTAGTTAACGATTTACCGATCATTTATTCGATTAAATCTAATGATTATAGGAATAGAAAAAAGCAAATTTAATCAATCATAGCTTATTAATTAAGTCATACAATAGCACACGCAAAATCGATACAATAATATCATCGTACTATGCTATATATATAATATATAATATATAAAAAAAGACAAAAAATGTCAACTTCAGATTCACACAAAATAAGCAGTAGTCGAAGTACGATATATGTTATTTTGTACTCTTATAAATACATATAACGTGAGGATCCGTGCTTCCATATAAATGAAGATGATATTAAACGAAGCACGAGCTACTATGCTCCGATCTTACATTTTGAATAAGAATCTACTGCTAAATGCAATTTCTCGACAGTATAATAATGCATATTATATATCCCTTTCTTATCCCAGTCGTCTTAGGTAGGTAAGTCCTGTGAGATGAGATCCAACTTGACGTTTGCCGCGAAGGAACGTGTTATCTGAAATCGGAGTAAAAATTTGATTAAGAAATAATATAAAAGATATTCAGGAAAAATATGTAGATAAAATAATGATTTCATTGTGTTTCGAAAAAGTGTTTAAAAAAAAAAATAATAGCGGATTATCGCGAAACTCGTATTACGCAATATGTGAATATGCTAGCCGAGGGAAAAATAAATAAATGAGCAAGTATGTGTGCGTGTGTTTGTATATCGTGTGAGTCATTACGTGCGAGATAGTGGGTAGCGATAATGAAAAATAAGACGCAATACCGCGATTCGGCACGTTTGATAATCTGCAATGGAAAAACAAAGTCGCCAAGTTGGCCGAAATTTGACTTGCAAAGTTTTTTAGAACTCGCTGAAAAAAAAAATCGAATATCATACCAGACAAAAAAAAATATCACAAGCGAATATTTTTAAGAGATTTAAATTATTTTCCATTATCTACCTTCGACAATACGTGAATTTAAATCGAATAAACAGAGCATTATCGTGACTCGTCAAGAATAAATTTCATGTGTCAAAAGAGAAAAGAATTCAATGAAGGATAATTTTTTCCATTCTGTTTATCAGCCTTGATCAAAGAGATTAATGTGTTTTGGATCATTCAATTTCTTTCTTTGATATGGGTTAACAAAGAATTGCGTCACTCATCTTCCGCGAGAACAAAGCAATCAAATTGCACCTTATTGTCGGAGTAAATGCGAGGAAAAAAAATATCCGCACGAGGTCGACTACGCGATAAAGCTTGAAAAGTAGAACGCAGACGTGAAAAGTGCCTCACCTTCGCGAATATTTATTCCTTGCTCTTGCCGGTCTGACGTTTGTTGTGCTCGGTATTCATCAGTTTGGTGAGTATCTTTCTGGAATGGCCGCTCGGGTCAAAGTGATTGGTATGGGTGACGGCCTCGCGTTTGCTTCTCTGCTTACCGCCGTGCGCGGTGAAGATGTGCTTGTCGTAATCGTAGTTGAAGTGCTCGTACTCGTCGAAGTGCGCCTCGGACATAGCTCTCGCGGTTGGATCCTCGGATCGGACGCTCATGGAAAACAGGTCGCCGCGCGACAACGCAAAGAGACGATCGACGTTAAATAATCACCCTCTATCGAAGGAGACCGACTCGATACTGATTACGCGGCGCTCGCCGCACCGGGTTTATATACGTCGCCGGATGTGCGCATGCGCGCAGTCGATAATCGACCGCCAGCGCCAGTCGGGGAAGCCGGTTTCGACGTCTCGAACGACTCTCGAACGATGCGACTGATACATGTGAGTATGGAAATATTATTTTTGTCTCTCGAATTTATGAAGAATTTGCATTTCCTCGCTCTTGTTCTTAATCTTCCTTTAATCTTTATAATTCTCGTATTTTTCGCGTTTCTTTCTACACTTGGTTCCTCCACTTGGAAAAATTGTGTTTTCTTTGGTTAAAAACGTCCCCGTTCAAATTTTTGGATTAAATATTTAACATTTTATGTGTTAATTTAACATATTGCTATTATGTTTATTAAACTTAAATGTTAAATTATTAAAATAACTAAAAAAGTAAAAATACTGTTAATTTAACATATTGCTATTATGTTAATTAAACTCAAATGTTAAATTATTAAAATAACTACAAAAGGAAAAATACTATTTAAGATACTATAACCTGACACAATGTGTATATTTTTAATTTTATACAATAAATATTTGTTCTGTATTATTTAGTGATAAGATTTATCTGTTAAAATTTGCAGGAAAAATATTCATTTTATATTACAATATAAGTGGAAATAATAAAATGTTAAATTAACATTTTTGTAATTAATTTTTACATTAAAACTATGTTGATTTTACATAAAATTTATTTTAAGTTTACTTGAAGTTTGTATTTATTTTACGTTAAAATATTAACGTAGTATTCGTGTCATCATTTAACATGTCCGCATTATGTTAAATTAACACAAAAATTTCTGTGGATTATTAATTGGTTTGGGACATGTGTGCTATTTGTTAAATTTAACACAAATTTTTCAACTGTGTAAAGTGATTTTATCCTAGGATTGAATAAAATGTGTCCTCGTAACTTTTGCGAAATTCGATGCAATATTTTTAGATAAATCGAAACGTAAAAAAAATCTGGCTTGCTTACGCAATTTTGCACAACTGCGTCGTAAGCGCAAAATATACATATAACCATTGATACGTGTCAACTTCTCGATATAGCTCCGATAACATATCGAAAAGTCGTCTTTCTTCACTTGATTCTTTTTGCCAAATTATATAACTGTCGTAGATTTCGATTATCGGTATCTCAAATGAACATATAAATAGTTTATTGCGTAATATTTTGACGAATCAATCATACATCGTCTCGCATATATTTAGTAATTTTTTCAAAACAAAACATTAAGAATGAATGAGACGAAAGTCAAATGTAATCAAGTGAATCATATTAAAAATGCGCAGGAAGCAAGAACACGCACACATGTCGTGTTGTATAAATTCAGTTAAATGTGTCCCCGACAGCTGTGTACTCATATGTAATTTCACATGCCTTTACAAAAAAAGCTCCAGCCTTTCTTCGCCGGTGCCTTATTTAAGATAGCTGTAACAGTATTTTTTACATAGAGACATATTAATATTTCCAAACAATATTCGTAAATTTAGATAAGAAAATAAATTTTTTGAAGATAGAAAGAAGAGAGTTTATATTGCGAAAAAAAGAGAGAACTATCAAATAACTGTCAAAATAAAATGAAAATAATATAACGCATTGCATCATCATAAGCAATAATATCTGCGACGTATAATCGAGAAATACTTTTAAATAGCCTTTCAATGTTATTGACAGTATTTAATATTCGAAGCAGTTCTTGTTCTCCTCCAACGTGCACGCGATTTGACCGCGATGATAACAAGACATTCCTCTTCCAATGGTCATTTATTCACGTGGCTAATCTATCTATTGAGACACTCGCGACCTAGAAAATTCCAACACGTTCATCTAACATCCAGGTGCATTGCCTTGTATAGCTCGTATAGCTGCAAAGTTTTCCTTAACAAAGCATGCCTGATTTCCAAATGAAACTTTTTCATTTAACAATAATATTTTATTCTAAAAAATATTTTATTCGGTTTATTTTAAAATTCAAGAAACTTTCAAAGGAGTAAACTGCAGCCGTGCACTGCAATTTATTTTATTATATTCCGTTGAATTAAATTTAAAATATATGTATTAATTTTTGAAAGAGTCGAGGAAATGAAAACAAATCAGTATATATATATATGCTGATTTGTTTTTATTTATATATATATATATATATATATATGCTGATTTGTTTTCATTTATATATATATAAATATATATAATTTAGTACAAAAATAACATATTTATCCTGTTGATAACAAGAGCGCGTGTCAGCCGTGTCACGCCGGTCGTTCGTAAACAAAGTGCGAGACTTGCAATGTACCTCGTATAGAGGTGCTGCAAGACGCTCGTAAAGAAGAAATGTAAATGTGCCGGGGAATATTTTGCGTTGCTACATTCACCGATTCATTTGTGTACATATTAGAAGGCAGGATGTGTGAATGTATATCGCGAAGGGGAAAGCCTGTATCAGTATATAACACACGTTTCTACGTCGTACGATATCTCGGCAATATATCGCGAAGCGAAATTATCGGAGCGTAAAAGACGCGTCACGCCACCGACGAAATTTCTAAATTAAATAATTTCTCAAAGCCTTGGAAATAACAATGTAGCCTTGAATCGCTCATTCTCAGTCGACGACGAAGTCCGATAACTTAATAATTTATTTCTTTACGCGTGCGAATTTTACTCGGCAAGAGAAGAGTCTTCCCTTATAAAGTTTCATCCTCGAAGTAATAAAGAGAATTGAATCGTCAAATGAGATAACGTTGAGAAAAAAACAGTGAAATTAATGAACATATTTTTTTCATATCTCGTATTTGAATATTATCGTAAAGTTACAAGAAGCATTTAACAACCACTTGTTACACTGTCTATGTTTTGCCAACAAATATAAATACGCGATATTTTTTTGCACATATCAGATATACATTATCTTCAATTAACGCGGATTATTTTGATAAACGTTAAGATAATAAATAAAAAATATTGAATATTTATTTTCGATTTCTCATTCGATATTTTCTTATCAACAGCTCGTTATTCCGCAAGTATTATAATTAAGTATGCCACACCCGCGCGAATGCTTGAATCTGACGTTATAATATTTATATTCAAAACAGCGAATTTTTTTCGATGACGACGCAATATAATTTTCAAGGTCGGACATTGACGACGGATTATATTCCGACTAGACGCAAAATGCGCGGTCGTGCTCGCGTATTTTCTCCTGGGGTGGGACGACTTGTTTAATTATAGCTTGTGGAGAACACACTGTATCTCTGCAAAATCAGCGAAAGACAAAGTCCATGTCTCTTTCTCTCTTGTCGTTTATAAAAAAAAAAAAAAAAAAAATCGCGAAGGAAATCACCCATCAAATCCGAAGGACGATGAAGATGACATTGCAAAAGGATATCGAGTGCGAATATGCGAAAAGGTACCGTTGATCGCGATCTAATACTGATAGGATGTTTGTATCAAACCGGCTGTGCTCTCGAATGACGACTAGCTGAGAAGTCTCCTAGAAGGCTTCGGAAACAGGTTTCTCTGGATAATAGTAGGGGACTAGCTAATACAACGTTTTGCAATGTATTTGCGTGACTTCTAAAGCCTACGTCTCGATGTAGAAAGCTTCACAGACTCTGAAAAGTACAGAAGAGAAAAGAGAGGAGATCTAATATAGAAGAATACAAAGATGCGGAAGATAGTTTCCTCCTCACAGATTTCTTGTTTTTTTAATCATATATTATTAAAATACACTTTTCAATAAAAATAATCGATAAGAGTATAGAAAAATTGATTAAAAAATTTCATACGCAGTGAGAGATTAACTTGTGAGATGTGCAATCGTGAAGGTGAAACACCTCATCGTGCGGATGATACGGAATAATTTAAAATAGGAAGTAAATCGCGGCAGTGCTCTGACGTCAAGGCTTTACATCTATAAAAAGCGCTAGAAGTGCTTAATAAGCATCACGTCTCGCGGAGCGGATTGTATAGCCGTGCTATATGCTAGAAACACGAAATATACAAAAAAATATATACATGTATATATTTTAAAAATGTGTGTGTATATATATATTGGCGTGCGACGCCAAAATTTAATAAAACTCGTTAATCTCTGTGCATTTACATTGTCACGCCCGCGTCTTGCATATCCAAATATCACAATCATAGTTCGAAGAAATATGGTAGAAATTCGAAAAAGTACGAATATTGACTTGGAAGGAAGAACGTGATCGATAACCGAGACGAATAATGAAGGAGGAAGGTATGAAGATATTTAATAAACAAATACTGATCGATCACATTGCTTACATCACAATGATCACGAGGAAACGATCGTCAAAACAAAGCCGGTTTGCGAGGAATTTTGCACTGGTAGAAAACATAACTAAATACCGATGAAGATGACACGTAAATATCAATCGACTCCGTAAACATCACCGCCTTTGCGATAATCCGCGTTCGCGAAGATCGTGGAATTTTCGTACAGGATGACGCAAACTACGCTGCCGCGTTCCCTGTAACGTTTCGTGACATGTCCTAGACGCTTCAGGCCATCGATCACCTGCTTGGGAACCCCGTATTCATAGGCTGTCTTTGATGGATACAGCTGATGATGTACTCTCGCCGAGTCCACGGCCTCCTTGACCGTCTGTTTCATCCAAAGGATCTTCGCAGTCACCTGAAAGGAAGCGAACACAATGATGATCGTTAAACATACCACTCAGTAGAGATGCCAGAGAATAGAAAAAGACGAAGAAGTGAATCAAAATATTAACTTGAGACACCGCAGTTGTGATTCTTGTACCACCAGCTGCGCCCACGACCATCTTGACATCGCCATTTCGATCGATGAGAACAGAAGGCACCATCGAAGACAATGGTTGCTTCTTGGGTGCGATGTAATTGTTGGGACTGGGCGGTATACCGAAATAACTGATCTTCGACGGAATACCAAAGTCGTCCATGGCGTTATTCAGCACAATGCCGGTTCTCCTACTGACTATTCCGCTTCCAAAACTGCAAGATTATCATCGGATGTAAAAGCATACAAGGAAAATCTTCAGCAAATAAACTCACACGGAAAAAAATCAATTACTATAGCATTCTTCGTTAAACTATAGCTGAAAAATATTATTATAGTTATCATAGCTAAAATTTAGTTATATTGAAAATTTAGTTATTATGCCTAAATTTTAGCTATGATAGCTAATATTTTTTAGCATTCTCCTTTAAACTATAGCTAAAAAATATTAGTTACCATAGTTAAAATTTAGGCATGCTAACTAAATTTCAGGTTGTAATATATGGACAGCTAAAATTTAGCTATGATAGCTAATTTTTCTTTTTTTTATATACGACTTGAGAGATAGAAATTTATTTACTAATAGTTAATAGTGCTGGTAACCGACACAGCATCACCATCTGGCCCCAGCACCGACACGTGAGCGGTACCATGATCTTCAGCACCAGCATGGATGGAAGAACCATAGTGTCGCGGATCCTGCCACGTTTTCTCGTCAGTTATTCTCTTTCGTATCGCGCGTGCAAAACTGTTCGACGTCAGGTTTCTGGTTATCTTGAAAAGAAAAAAATTCCAGCATATTATATTAAATAGACATTCTGAGAGAAAAAATCAAATCGTATCTATATACTTATATTACTTCGCTCATATCGACGAAAGCCCCGTCACCCAGATCCGTCCTTAGCGCGTACGCGTACTTGAAGGTCTCTATCATTCTATGATATGTAAGAATCGTCGAATTAAAATCGGCTATGCTGGCTGGAGTGAAACCATAATCGTCGAGGACGTTAAGAATAAATGAGAGAACAGGTCCGCTACCGGGTAGTCCTGTGGTAAAGAGTTTTATGCCACCTGAGAGATTCGTCTGTATCGGTTGATCCCATGAAACTCTGAATAAAAAAAACATTATTATTATTATTATTTTAAAGATAAATTTGTAGCGCAACAATAATTTTTCTACCTGTATTCGTTAAGGTCTTTCATCGTTATGATTCCTCCTTGTTCGCGCAAATCGTCAACGAGATATTGTCCGAGCGTGCCGTTATAAAATTCGGTCGCATTTTTCTCAGCAATGATTCGCAGCGTTTCGCAAAGTGTGCGGGGTTTAATGACAGATCCTACTTTACGAAATTTGTCAGTTGCAGGATCGACAAACAATTCCCTGCAAAAGATTCAAGAGACTTATTTAATATTATACGGAGAGAATTTTCTCTTAGAATTTATCTTGAAAATTGGTCATGGAATTATGGAACAATATTGGTATCAGAAGAATTTTATAAGAGTTTCTCTGGTTAATATTTATCACAATAAAAAATATTAATATGTACATTCATAGTAAATTTTACTATGTACATAGTAAAATTAATCGAACATATTTTGTATCTTATTGTGGTTTGACATTAATATTTTTATTGTGATAAATATTAATCAGAGGTGATAAATATTAATCTTATAAAATTCTTCCAATACAATATTATGTCTCATGATTACCATGATTTTCAAGGTAAATTTTAGGAGAAAATCTCTGTATAATATTATATAAATTATAATATTTAATTCCTACACACATATACACACAGTAATATTATGAAATATTTTATATAATTTTTATTCTATAAACACAATTTTTTTATATTTGACAGATTTATACATACCTCAGAGTTGGATCGTTATAAACGCTTATTTTATTATACAAAAGACCGTCGTATTGTGCTTGTGTCAAAGTATAGCCCTTCTCGCAGAGTTCAATACTCGGTTTAAACAAATCCGCCCAAGGCAATTTACCGAATCGTTGATGAGCCTCCCAATAACCAGCCAGTTCACCGGGAACGGAAACTGCTAGTGCGCCTGTTAGAAAACATATTTAATAGCAAAAAATTCAAAGTTAGCATTACTAAATATAGGTAATCAAACGAGAATATGTAGAAAAATTTACCGCGAAAAGACGCATTCATGGGCTTGTCGTTGTACATCGTAGAATTCGCTGCCAAGGGTGCGCGATCCCTGGCATTAAGGACGAAAGATCGACGGGTGGATCTTTGATAGATGGTCATCATAAATCCACCGCCAAATCCTAGACTTTGCATGTTTACGAGCCCGTTGCATATCAGCGCCGAAAGCGCAGCATCCATCGCAGATCCACTCCGTTCCAAGATCGATCTGAAAGAGATCCTTCCCTTTTATCTCTGTTAAGAAAGACGGACTGACTAAATAGAAGACATCTGTTGGACGCCACATGTGCATCACAGATTCGAAAACTCGCGCGCATCGCGCATGCAACTCACTTGCCGATAACTGCACATGGTGCTCCGTCAGCGCAGACGGCGCCGCGTTTAAAACTTCGCAACTTGCTCCAAGACGGTGGCTGCACGCTTTCCGGATCGGGCGGTATGAGAGATTCATCTCTCTGCGAGATGCCATAAACCCCGACACCGATCACGACGAATGCAACTACGACGCAGCCGATTATTACGATCGCGCACGATCTCGCACGACGTCGTGATCTGAAAATTAAGATATCACGTCATCAAGAGTAATTAATTGCTTCGATCAAAGGTGATATTTTTTTTATCATAGGATTATCATTTATTGTCGACATAAACGTATTGATTTATGTATTTATTCGAGTGTTTTTGATAATATTTTGCTGATTTGTTATTCGCATTCAATTGAAGTCATTCCATTTTTATATTTCATATAATTGAACATGACATACTTGAACTTGTATAAACTAGACAGATTATCACTATTACTGTTTAAATAACAATGATTAAGCAATATATTTTTCAACTATTTTTTAAAATATATTTGAAACAATGTTGCATTTAAAAATATTCCTCATCAATGCTAAATTTTTGTATCGTCAGAATATTAGAACATATTTAGTAAACATTATATTCTTAATATATATTTTTACTAAAATTTTATCAATTATGTGAATACTTAAAGTATGATATAATTCATTTATATGAATATTTAAAATATGATAATAATATAAATATTATTTATAAATTTGTCATGATACAAATATGCAATCTAAAAAAGTTACAATATATTGCGTTTTAATATTGTGTACATTAATTTTTTATTGAACAACAAGTTATCTCAACCGAAAAGAGAAAAAGAATATATATATATGTGTGTGTGTACGTGTATATACATGTGCACAAGAGCGCTGTATATATATGGCAGCTAGTCAGTTAGTCAGTTAGTCGGTAAAGAATGTGAATGGCAGCCAGTGCATTTATTAACCTGCATACAAAGTGCACAGTGTATAATTATTTCACGTTTATCTAATTGCGATTTCAGCATATCGAGTGACTTCGCATTTGACAAGTTTGACAGTTCTTGCTGTTGCGATGGATCGACTGACGAAGTTCATCTAGGGCGTAGGTTTCGTTGGGTCTCTCATATGAATAGAGGTTGAGAAAGCTGAAGAAAGGGAAAACGTTTTCTACCGATAAATTAGCGTCCTGCATTTTACTGCTCAAAGAAATCACATCGTATTCGAGGTAAATTTATATAATCTACATAGACCTATACACTATTCGAATAATCTCGAAATAATTCGAAATTATAATATGATAAATGGATAATTATAGAATATTATACACATTCATTTTATTACTATTATGCAGTATTTATTATTCGCATTATATTTGTTATTTCTTGCATCTTACATTTGTTACTTATATCACACATATAAAAAAAGAATTTTTGAAGTATAAGATTCTCTTAATAAAAAAATATTCTGTAGATTATGTATAGATTTATATTTGATGCAATATTCATTTAAAGAATTGTCAAAAGAATGAGATTGCAAAAAAATATAAGCTCTTTTGTTATGTGTTTTCATTAAAATTCAATAAATGTATAGATTGTTTATATTGAACTATATTGTTAAATTATTCAACTGTATTGATATTAATTTGACAAACAGATTATATTGTTATCGAAAAATTAATGTTTACTAAAAAATTTGAATTTCAAATTATTCCGAGATACATACGCAATTTAATACTTTAATAAAATATTCAAAGCTTATATCATAAAGATATATGCAATAATTAAAGTATGTAAACGTTTGTAGTGGTGGACGTTTGATGAGATAACACTCGTATAATTGCATGACGTGTCACGACAGTGCAGCAGAAATTTCCGTCATGAATAACATGTTGATAACTCGTTCTAACTTAAGAATTCATAAGAACTTTAGGAATTTTTAATTTTTTTTTAAATAAAATCATATCTTGCTTTTCCGAAATACTCCTATAATTCGAATGATTTGCGCCTTACGAGGATATTTTTAAAATTAATCGCGCGGTGGGGGAACGAATGATATGCACAATTCATGTTTTCGATCAAAGATCACGGATTGACTCACTTGTCTATCTTGAATCTCTCGAGGATTCTCGAGCTCTCGCGCGAGAGACGGGTTGAACCGAGAAGCCAAGCGGTTCCGACGTCCTCCGAATCGAGGGACCGGTTGCTTCCGATGCACCGGCGCCCATCGTCGGAACCGGAACTCGTGTTGGAGGATGAGGAGGGCGAGGAAGCTCTCATGATTCTTCTCTGAGGAAAGCTCCATTTATTAATAATAGGATAAGTGAAGAGCCGAGCGCTCTTCTCTTCCCTTGCTTTTATATATACATCTACGTATCTCCGCTCGCGATTAATTCATCAACATTTGATCACACTCACTTGGAAGACATGCCCTCCGTTTCTCACCATCTACGACGACCGTACTTCTTCTGGTACCGCTTCGTTCGACTTCTGACACGCGTGGGAGAGAAATTCCGCGCCATATTCGGCGGTGTCAATTATGTCATTCCGGAAATGCATAACACCGGTTTTAGCGTCATAATAAATGACAGCATGTTGAATTCCCCGATGCAAAAGTGCACTCACACACACGTAAATACACTCGCCGCGATTCGGCCGACTATCGCAAACGCATTGATAGACTTTGTTCGCGCGTAATGAACGATAATAAAGCAGCTCATTGATCTCTATATCTTGAACTGTCAGAAGAAAATGTTTACACTCGACGATGAATCGTCGGAAGACATGCTGCACTTGCAATACGTTTCTCGAACAAAGCAGAGGCCTGCGGGGATGCTCCAGAACGGAAGATTGTATCAGCTGAGCAGGTAAGATCGATACGAGTTTGCGCGTCGGGTTTATAAACGAATGCTCGTGCGCGGCTCGAATTTCGAAAGATTAATTGCAAGACGAGGTTTCTTTGGCAAGTGTTGACTGGGAAAGTTTATGGACATTTGGTAACGTAAGTAATTCATACCTCCGTTGCTCCTGCGACTCGAATGAACACGTCAGATTGCTCTTCTCCATTGCTCTTTTCCTTTTCCACCGGGTAAAAGCTCTTCGTGATGCTTCAAAAAATGCGATTATTCTATGCTCGATTGCATACACTTTCCGTTCTGACGAGCGCGAATGCGTTTTTTCCAGCGAATTTCCACCGGTGCGCTTTATGCACAGATAAAATCGCGAATCGATGAATTATATTTTATACTCTCTCGGACGAATGCATCGTACATTTTTCGGTGATGTTCAAGCACGGGGAAATTTGTATACGCTAAGTCACACGAGAAACCGACGACTCAACCATGAAGAGTGAATGAAGGGCGGTCAGAGACCGCCTGTTGCGAGGTCATAGACTTGCAGCAGGTTTCGAACATAATATAAAGTAATCGACCGATCTTGTAGTAAGAACCTACCTGGAAACACGTTTTGGGAATAAGAATGTCGAAGGTAGGATGGCAGTAAAGAGGATTAAAAGGGGGTAAACATTTCGAAAAAACGAGTCTCTGGCAGCTGTACAAACGCTACATTAATTAGAAAGCAACGCGAGACCAATATTATTTATCACATGTACACTATTAAATGCGCATATATTATTTATTTACTATATTATTTAATATATTTATTTAATATATATATTTTTAATATATATATTTAATATATATATTTATTTATCATATTATTTAATATTGTAAATGATATTATATATATATATATATAATATTTATATTTATTTTATATTATTATATTATATAATATATTAAATAATAAATATAATGATAATAAAATATAAGCGCAGACGTTTTACAAAAACTACAAATTCATAGCTTCCAGGTACACGTTTTTATTATTTTTTTTTTTTATTTGCACTAACTTTATACACTCAGACATTGTTTATGTCGCAACTCTTTGTAATGTTAACATCGATACAACATGCTTGCACCCGACAAAGTTCCTCGAGTTATTTTTATCATTGATAAACCTGTTTTTCTCGAGATCACGAGTTTTGGTATTGAAATCGATAGATTCGCAATTGTGTGTATTGAACGAGCTGTAAACATACAGGTCTATCTGACGAGATCAATAAAGACGGCTCATTAGATAAGCGATTCTATAGCAAATTCGAAGTTTTACACGGACGTCGTGACATACGCCGGAGATTGTCAAGTCTCGTGCGTACGATAATAAGGTGCTGCCTCGATTATAACGATGTATATATTTAACAACAATATTGTATAAATTAAAATGTCGAGAAAGAATGATCCGTATTTACGCCGTATTAAGCAGTCAATAATCAAACAAGTCGACAATAATTCGACTTACATCGTATTAATTCTTCATTACAGAGCTATCAACAAAATATAATAAATAATATATATTATAATATTCATCTAACAATATCAATATATTATCGGACGGTGGAATTATATATGTATAAATATACAAGAGAAATCTAATATAACAGAAAAAGAAGTAAGTCTTCGTGCAAAAATTAATCAGAAACGTAAAATATTATACCTATACTTTCCGTATGAAGCTTTGTTTTTGAGCGAATTAATTTTTAACAGAAATGATTAAAAAAGTTAATATAAAAGTACAATATTCCATTTAATAAAGTTCGAAATAAATGATTGAAGAGTTATATGTTATATCTATATAAAGCATCAAGATCAATTTCATTTCTTTCAATAGAAAATGTATCTCTATACACATGTTTTATACGCACTTTTTTATTCACATTCTTTCTTAATAGCTGCTGTCGAGATAAATTTCATGATGAATTGCTCCAGTTCATTAAAAATTATTCAAGCTTAAAAAAACGTAAATATGCTAAATCGATTTTCCAATTTTTCACTTCCTCGAATTAAAGAAAGCTGATACGAAGTTTTATTTTTTATTTTACAGTTTCAAATTTATTTTAGCACGAAAACTCATCTTCTTTTTATCCTATGTACAATCGGAATGATTAGTTTGTAGTTGGTATGAATAAATAAAATACGCGAATACGGATCGATTCTCGCGCGTTCCTAACAAATCAAAACGTAAACGTTCTTGACGTATATCATATATAAATAACACCGCAATCAAACGCCCACAGAACGTCGAGATATTTTGTTTACATGGATGTTTGTATGCACATATACATATATGCTTCTACGCAATTTTTTGGAGTCAATTCCAATGCGGCTACTATCGCTATCGACTAAATTGTTGACTTATCTAAATTACTAACATTATTTATTATATCTCGCGTAGATGTCAGAGATCATGAAAGGGCCATGGAATTTCATACGATCGTAACTACATATCGAGCGAAATTTGACATTTACAAAAGTGAGATTTATTTTCTACGAATGAAATTTTATTCCGCGCTCGATCTGCGAATTTTACATTGAACATTTCTTCGGAGCTCGCACCTTTGCTTCGATCTTTATTGTTACCGCTTTCTATCAAAAGAACTTTCTCGGGTGTCTGATTCTTCCGTTCGTTATTTCTCCCTTCGCTCCTGCTCGAGTTTCTATGACTCTTGCTTCGGCAAATTAAAGATAAACTGGATCAGAAGTTTCGTGATTGACGAAATTCTCGCGCGAATTCGTCGCTGACCCAAAACTTTCATCGATAATGATCGGGGACGATCAATAATTAATTCTCTTCTTCGTTCTATAGCGCATCAAGCGAGTGAACAAAAATTTTCCGAAATCAAGTTTGCCGGTGGTATATTAATCGGTTTCATTCTTCTTTGTTGTAAAGGATGGTTTCACGTCGTTGCGTTATGTAATGTTGCAGAGTGAAGGTACAAAAATATAATTTCAAGATATGTCGATATATATCTATATATTTTATATGTATTAATGTCGAGTGTAAAGGCTGCGCCGAATCCTCTCGTTCGCTTCAAAAACTTTCTACTTCTCATTAGAACGTGTAAGAAATTAATCGAGATCATACCTTTCGCGGTACAAAATATACGGCTTGGACGAGTTATATATTCCTCAAGTATATCACCCCTCTTCGCTTTTGTGTCGATAAATACAAGTTATTAAAATATTTGCTGCGTCGCAGTATTAACCGGTTAACTTTTCATTTTTGCAAATTCGCGAAATAAGTCATGATTGGATGCTCTCTTTTTCTCTTTCATCCCTATTACGAAACTAAGCGGTGTCGCTTAAGTACACGCAGAATCTCATTTAGTCTGGGGACACGAACGGATTACTCGAAAGGAAAATACATTTAGATTTAAAAAGATAAACTTAGGATGAGGATGTCAGGAGGGGCCTCAGCTGCGTAGCCTCCTCGCCTCGGTCCTCAGAAATTTCGGCAACCTCGCTGCGGTTGTCGCTTTTTGACTTTCGCAGCGAAGGTTCCATCTGCAACTCTTCCCTTTCGAGATTATCGTCCTTGTCAGTTCTTTCAGTCGTCGCCTTAGTCTCGATCTCCTCGACGCTGCTCCAACTGCTTTCACTCCCGCTGAACTCTCTCTTCTTAATGTTACCGTTCACCTTCTCCTTTTCCTTCCCGCCATTTTCCTGCAGCGAATTAATTCAGGCAATTAATGTCAGTATTATTATTATTTTTTCGATTTTTTAATTTTAATTTTTTTAATAATAACATAAATATGATATTTTAATTCGGCCAATAAAGCCCAAAGCGCGAAAATTAATTTTTCGGAACGTTTTAGGTTCTATTGGCCGATTTAAAATATCATATTTATGTTATTATTATTTAATAATGAGAGCCGACAAAAATATTCCTTATTTGATTTAATTTTTATTAATATTATTTTTTTAAATTTTTATTAACATTATTTAATGCGCGGATTTATTTTAATGGGACTTACTATGCCGAGAGACTTGAGCAGGGTGGTGGTGGTCGTCGTAACTGTGGTCGTATCCGTGGTATCGCTGCTCTCGCTATTGTTGGTCGCCCTGATCGCTGGCGCGTTTTCCTCCACATTCTTGCCACGTGCATGTCGTCGGGACGAATTCCTTCCGCTACCCTTGACGGACTTCGGGGTGACGTTGGTGGTCCAGACGCTCGCGTCGCTGCTTCCCGTGCTGCTGTCGCTTCCGGTGCTGCAGTCCCGCCATCGGCGTTCTATGCATGCACAATGTCAGATGAGAATTCTCTTCTCGAATTGTACGGACAAGTACACTGATCTACCTCGATTTATCCATTTACGAATTCGGAATTCCCGTACGAAATTGAACTTACGTTGTCATCAAATGTCTTTCGATGTTCACCGATGTTATTGAAAACTTATCTCATTCGTCTTTTGTATTAAATTTGCGAAGAATCATTAGAGGTATAATTTTTTATAAAATGACCCAAGGAATTACGGCTTGAATTTTTGACATATGTTTAAGAAACACCTGTATGTACGATACATATAAATGAGGAGTCGCATGAAAGATAAATCAAGCGGTTTTTTTTTTTCCAAATCGCGATATTACAATTTTGAAATTGCAAATACGATGGAGCTAAATGTACGACACCACAGAAGTTAATGTATGACGTACTTTCGGGCGGTGGGTTAGTATTGGAATTGGGGGATTTTCTCAGAAGCGGACTGCTCCCGTCCTGGCTCTCCTCGCTGTACGCGCGCGTTATGAGGATCCTCGGACTCTTCCTCGGGGTTTCGCATATTGCTACGGAGCATCCCGCGCCCAAGTCCATTCCGATAAAGTCGCTCCGATAGTTGGGACCCATCAGACTGGCGGCACTCGCGCTCGCCCTCACCAATTTGCTGGGCTCATCTTAGTGCGCCGTGATGAAAGGATGACGCTCATATCAGTGTCGAAATATTTACCCATCAACGATCAAGAGATATCTTTCAAAAGTTTGGTTTATTTCACTACAATATATATATATACTACAAGTCTTTATATATATTGAGAAAGAGAGACAGAGAGAGAGAGAGAGAGAGAGTCATTTGCGTTAAGATCTTACTTAACTCTTAACTTAATGGGCTCTCTTGGTTACGAACATTATTTCTGAATATATACCGGAAGCACGGAGAGAGAGAGAGACAGAGAGAGAGAGAGAATATCGTTAAAACAATATTAGCCCAGTGTAAATCGCGTAAATTTGCGTACCTGATTCGGCGGTTGGCACTCTGAGAGTATTGCACGAGACGGCTGGCTGCAGCCTGCCTCGTTGAAATCCGAGATTATTGCTTTCGAAACTAGTGCCGGTTCTGCACGAGCCGAGGGCCAGCAACGCCTCGCTGAGCCTACGTTGTAAGGGCGGAAACGGAAAGAAGGAAACGGTCCCGCTGCCCGAAGGTCGTCTGGAGCCGGCTACGCTCGGCGTTCTTGCCTGTATCTCCTGGAATAAGGATATAAGGATATTAATCCTTCTGTCATAATTTTTTTCACCATCAATAAATAGATATCAGCCGAGTGTTTTTCACACATTACTGCATACGTCAATATTTTTTTATAACAGTTGTTTTTATATAACAATTTTTTCGAACATTCTTTCCCGTTATATTTTAAAGTTTCCGAATGCAAAGAACCTTTATACTTTGTTTGTTTAGGCGGAGAAAAGTTTCGACATGTTTTTAGGATTTAAAACTAACGTAATAAATTGTGGAAGGATTTTGATGTGATATAAATATAAATTAAGATATGAAAATGATTAAGCACAGTATTAAGCGGAAAAATTTTAAATTCCTCTTTAATTATTTTGTCAAAAGTTTCGACACGCTTTTAGGATTTAAAGCTAACATATAATAATAAATGGAAAAAGCTTTGACATAATATAAATATAAATTCAGATATGAAAAGGACCAGGCACAGATATCAAGCGCAAAAATTGGTTTTAAATTTCTCTTTAATTATTTTGTTAAAAGTTTCGACACATTTTTAAGATTTAAAGCTAACATATAATAATAAATGGAAAAAGCTTTGACATAATATAAATATAAATTCAGATATGAAAAGGACCAGGTACAGATATCAAGCGCGAAAAATTGGTTTTAAATTTCTCTTTAATTATTTTATTAAAAGTTTTGACACATTTTCAATATTTAAAGCTAACATGATAAATTGAAGAGGCTTTATATAAAATATAAATTCAGATGAAAAGGACTATAGATATTAAGCGCAATAGTATTGGTCTAAATTCCTCTTTCATTATTTTGTTAAAATTTAAAATAGCTTTAAATACTCGAGTGTCTGTTCACTGACAGAAGGGTTAAAGGGTTTCGAAAAATAGTGTGTCCTTTGCGTCGTTCGAGGGTGCTCAATTGATTTAGCTTTTCCCGATCGGATTACCTGTTGCAACTCGGACTTGGTCGCCTTCTTCCTCCAGTAGTTTTGCACGGAACGTCGCAGAGTCTGCGACTTTAAGCCGTAGAGAAGGCCGTTGACAGGTGGCGAACACGCTAGAAGAAGGAACACCAGAGAGGACGCGAGACTAGGGTAGGCATAGAGACGCTGATTACCGGCGTTGCAAGCTTCCCAGAGGATGAATCCGCAATAAGGAAAGTAGAGCAGGTACAGGGAGCCGACCAGCTGCATCACCTGCGAAACGTCATCGCGTGCGATGAAGGTCGAATCGGATATTTATTGGCGACCGCGCCTTCGACCGCAAAGCGCGTAATTATTTATCCTTCCGTTGAGCGCGATACCTAGACTTGATACATTCAAAAGGCCCCGGGTCACGATTTCCCAGAATAGAAGTCAAACCGGACGGTTTCGCAACGAGATGTGCTTTGCAGAGAGCAGGGAAAGTTTCGGTATGTATTTCGCAGATGCCCTCCAGCGTGGTGTCTATCGATTCGACTTGCTAACTTGGAGAAAATTAAATTGCAGATTAGACTTTAACTAAACGAACCACCATTAATCAACGCGATTAACTTAAATTCAATGACGTGACAAGAGCTAAATTGGCCGGTTGAAGTCTGTCGACGAAAAAATTCCTCCCTCCGATTGATCCATCGTTACAATAATTAAGAAAAAAAATAATAACTCTTCAAATATACTACGTCTCGAAATTAATCTCGAAGAAAAGGAAAAAGACATTTGTATATACGAACCGTGCTAGCGGCGCTGTGAAAACGCGGCGGTCCTCCCGCGGACGGCGCGGTGACAGTTGGCACAAAAAACGGATTTCGCTGATGGGTGATGGTCACCTGGGCGCTCAGGGTGACCTCGTAGATCGCGCTGGCGATACGATGCCTGTGGTACCGCGCTATAGTCAACACACGTAAATTGCAGACCGTCACGAGGACGGCCGGCAGACCCAGGCCCAGAATGACGTAAACGGCGCCGTAGAGCGCCCCAGCGAATCCCCAAGTGCGGTTTCCGAAATCCGGGACGCAGCAGCCCAACCCTTGACTATAACTGATCGATAGACAGAAGATATTAAGAGATAGCGTGTATATTTGCGCGCGAAATCGATGCGAAATTACATTACACGGTTTTCTAGCTTATTTCCTTCTTTTAATCGCATTTTAATGCAATTAAAAAGGAATATTTGTATTTAAAAATAATAATCGTATTTTCGTGCACGTGCGTTAAAAAATAAAATTAAATCGAAAATCGAAGCGTTTGAGAAAAGTTTATTCAACATTGTCGCTGCATTAATTTTAATTAATTTATCCACCTCCGCTGGCGTCGACAAAATTTCGAATGAGATTGCATTCTTTCATGCCCTCTCCGAGAGAGAGTCAGCGCGAAAATTGTCTCGCAACACGCCTTTATACAATGCGAAACAACTTGCGCGAGTCGAGAAACGGAGTACCCAGAGTAAATCGAATCTTGTTCATTATGCGAGAAAATGCACCAATTGCGCTGCAATATCGTAGAGAAGCAACGCCACGGTATGCAATGACGCTAGTAGTCGTGTTAATGATGGTAGTGGTTAATAGCGTGACATTTACATACATGTATATATAGGGTGTCTGACATAAAGTGTCGCACCGAAAATGTACAAGTAGATCTTATTATTTGGAGACGCTTTTTCCTTAGAAAAAATGTCAAAGGAGGATCATTTTTTGCATGTTCCCAATTTTGCCATCACGTGTGTGTATCACTTTACAACTAAACCTTAAATTAAAATTTTATTAAAGTAATCTCTCCTTGAAATTAATTAGAGAATGTAGTTTTCTCAATATTTTATTTCCACAAGTCTTTGCGAAAAACCCTTTATTTTCAATCGCTTATAACTCGACAACAATTGATGTCTCAATACTTTCGCGAAGGAAAAATTGTCTCCAAATAACAAGATCTACTTGCATATTTTCGATGTGACACCTTATGTCAGACACCTTGTACATACACGTGCGTGTGCATATATACAAACCTATAAGGCGGCACCAGACCGGAGAACGGCGGTAAACACAGAAGCAGGGCACCCGTCCAAGAAGCAGCCAATCCTACGGCCACGCGACGCGGAGAGACCAAAGCGGCGTAATGCAGGGGTGCAGCGATCGCGTAATACCTGCATGTATAGAGTAATTGCATGTGGCACACGGTTCTCCGCAAGAACTAGTAATTGGATATCGCGCGAGCTTCCGTTTTCACACTCGGTCGAGCGTCTAATTTCAACGATTTTCTTCCCACTCACTTCCACCTCACCGTCCTTTTATCATTTAATGGGATTAAAACATATCTTTGTATATATATATATATATATATATTATATAAAATTGTATATACATATTTTATACATACAAAGATATATTTTAATCCCATTGAATATTAAATGATAAAGGGACAATGGGGTGGAAGTCATGGGAAGACAATCGTTAAAATTAGACATATTTTATAAAATATGTATATATTTTATATACACAAAGATATGTTTTAATCCCATTGAATATTAAATGATAAAGGGACGGTGGGGTGGAAGTGACTGGGAAAAAAATCGTTAAAATTAGAGACGATATATATACATATTTTATAAAATTAGGAGAACTTGGTGAGATGACTAAAAATTGATTAAAGAGAGTAAATATAGTATAGATCATTAAAATAAAATAAAATAAATAATTTTTATAAAATTAGAGGAATTTATTGATGAATAAAAATTGAAATTAAAATATATCTCGGAATATTATGAACAAGAGAGAATAAAATTATCTTTTTATGACGGTTTATGTACTCTTTCTCGGAGGGAAATGTAACAAAATATACGCCTGCAAAACCCAAAAATACGACGGTGGCTTAAATCTGTTAAGCTGCTGAATAAAATATTCTGTGGTCGATTGAGCCTGTGGTTGGACCCGGAGCCCTTTCTCGAGGTAAAAAAAGGGAGGAATTTTCTATATTCTCACGAAGGATTTCCATGTTTTCTTAAAGGGTTGCGCGACACGATACGAAAACGTTTGTCGCGGGAATTCACAGAAGGTGGAAGAAATGCAAGATTTTCAAAGAGTAGTGTATGTAAATCGCCCACAAAATAATTTACGGTAAAACTCACCGTTCTATGACATGGTAGCTGAATTTCAGTTTGTGAAAAATTGATTTTTTTCTTTTTTTGTGAAATAATATATTTTCGAAATTTGATTCTTTACAAGAATCGTATAACGCGCAATACATTTCTTGTTACCTCCAGAGGTTTATTGTAATCTTATAATGCAATATATATGTAAAGCGTGGAATGAGAATTACTTGAGCCGGAATAATCAAAATTTCTCACGTATCACTGAAACGCATGTCAACTGTTGATGAGAGAACGTATCGAGATGATAAGCAACAAGTATATAGAAGTGGAATGACGGAAGTGGAATGTCGCGATTCTCTGGATTATGCGCAGACTGTATCGAACAAATGTCTTGTATCATCTGACAGTCGCGATAATATTTCGAGTCTGTGGAATCATTATCGACATCCTAAGCAACTCCTCGGTCACGTGTCCCTCGAAATTGAACTTTCGAGTTTCATCCTCTCGTCCTCGATTTACCCGAGCGACAATGATGTTTTTGCCTTTATCTGGCGTAAAATTTTATTCAAACTAAAGTATCTGTAACACGATCGATATAAAAAAGCAGGGTTGGGTAAGTTAATGACTTTTTAAAACTAAGTTAAGTTGAAGTTAGTTGCTTATAAAATTAATTTAGTTAAGTTAAAAGTTTTATGAACAAAAAATTAATTCACAATCAGTTAAAGTTAAGTTAGGATTAAATTAACTGACGTTAAATCAAAAGTTAATTTTTAAAAATATTATTTATATTAAATTAGAATTTTGTTTGTCAATTCTTTTAAAATATGTAATAATAAATAACAAAGAAATTTTGATTTTTATATAGAAATATATTTTTTGGTAATTACAATTTATGACAAATAAACATAAAAATTAATAATACTTTTAATTTAAAAATAATATAACTTATAAAAAAACTTATAAAAAATATTCAGAGATAAAAAAATTTAACTTGGGAAAAAAAGTTAATAAATTTAAGGTAACAAATAACTAATTGACGTTAAACATTAGTATATGTACATTTTAAATTAACCAAGCTAAGCTAAAAGTGATTAACTTTTTAACTTTTAACTAATTAACTGGTTATTACTCAACCCTGTATGAAGGTAAAATTGTTCGAGTAATAAAGAGCGGATAATTTCATCGAATTATTACGACATTTTGAATATTCCCGGAAATAATCCGATCAAAAATGCGCGAGAAGCCGATTTCACCCCGTACACGCACAAGGGGTACTCGAATCTTTCCGCGTAAAGCGTGTGCTTTAAACGCGCGTCGCGTAAAACGTGGTTTTACGCATGATCGATGCGGGAACAATGTGATTAACAACCGCTACACGTATCCCTTTTATGAACCTCGATTGCCGTCGCTATGCATCGATCGTCGTCGACTTTGCTTCCGCGAGCAACGAATTACGTGGGAGAACTGATATATAGCGATTCTCATTCATCTCCAAGTCTCCAATTTGCATGATCGAATGTAGCATATAATTTTATAATATCGATATAAGATTATATATTACAACGATCGTAAAATGTAATATCGATACAATTTGTAATATAATATAATTATAATTTATAATATTTTTTTATCGACAGTTATATTATTAAAAAGAAGAAAAAAGAGGAAAGGCTGAGAGAAAGAGACTTTCCGAATATCGAATATGATTTTATAATAATCGATATAAGATTATATAGCGATCGTAAAATTTTTTAATATCGATATACTTGGTAATATAATATAATTATAATTTCTAATATTTTTATATCGATATGTCATAAAAAAATAGAAAAGGAGGAAAGAAGTCTGAGAGAGAGACTCACCTGTCGCAATTTAACCCGGTCACGGTCCAGAGAGCGACTGGATGTAGCAGAGCTAAGAGGAATCCGTGGAAAACGCACCACGGTCCGGCGTTCGGCCACGAACTGGTCGTGAAAATCAGCAATATCAGGCACACGACCGCTTCCACGGCGCCCAAATGGATCAGCAATAAAGTGTTCGCCGTCTGCTGTTGCTGCGTCTGCGAACATTTTGCGGCGCGATTCGTTAATTTGCTGTCGATCGTTTCCAAATTTCTATCGCATTATTCTCTCTCCCCCGGGATATTTTTCTTCCCTTATTGCGACGAGATTCTCGAAATTTTTTATTAAGTAATTAAAGCTGTCAATAAGCCGCCGGCTGATCGTTTTGGTTTTAAAATCCGCTACAATTTTATTCAGTTTTATCGTTCGCGAATTTTTTTTATCGAAACATTTATTACTTTTTTGTCTTATTTTCTCTACCCACCGCTGCAATAACTGCAGCTTGCACAAAAGCGTTTTCATATCATACATTACATATCCTGAAATATATTCTGTAATAACTCTTTGACTGAAATACCGAGAAAATTCACGTTAATTTACGCTCGGAAAGCGTTCCGCAACATACGTATCTCTCGAATTTATTTTTGCTCTGAACACGAGTGATTGCAAAAATCATTAAAATCGCACGTTTGCGGTGACTTTCGCGGCGTACAAGAGAGAGAGAGAGAGAGAGAGAGAGAGAGAGAGAGATCTCGCTTTGAAAATTTTCCCGTATTCGGAGAATTAAACGCCGTAGCAGGTATAATTCCGATAAAAATTCGCGAAATATAAAAATAGGGAAAAAGAAGGATGATGGAATTTTTCGTGGATAAACGTAAACGTTTTATAGATATTTGCTCGTTACTGTTCACCTGTTTACCAAGACCAAGAACGACAAGAAGAACGTAGCCATTCAGGAGAAGACCCAGAGTTGACACGAGGATGAGAGGTACGCCGAAGGCCCAAGGGCCCATTCCTTCTTTTCCCGCGTGTTTTATTCCTTTTTCCGGATATTTCTTCCTGGAGAAGAGAAGGAAAGTCTCTCTCGGCGCTTATTCAAGTGAATCTGTCGACCACATTGCGTCTCCGGATCTATATCTATGTTGTCATAACGTCTGAAAACAATTTAAAGGACTTATGTATATTTTCTTTTTAAAATAACGCTCTCGTCAATGTATATATGATTTTATTGAACTCATTTTTTTAAACAAATATATCTGCATTCTAATAAAAACCGTTAGAATGCTATCCGATTAATCGCGTCGATCATTTTGTCTTAGTCATTTTATTATACATAGTTCTTTTTAAATATGACTTGCGGATCAATATTACGAAGCAAATTTTATATATATATATATATATATATATATATATATATATCGGCCGTATGATATAAACATTATTATCTTCAGCAGTACGCTTCAGCAGTATGCTGTCATTAGCATTAACATTGTAATTCATACATATCGACGCATGACACGAGTTAAATTAGATAGCCAAGGACAAGGGCAAATTTGCAAAAGGTCACATATTTTAACTCGGATGTTGGTCGATGATGTAAGCTGACAGTGATTATATACAATCTCTTGAAGAAACAAGTCTAGACAGAAAATGTCTGTGAACAATCTGTACAAATTTTATGTGCATATATTTCAAGAATCATCACAAATTAAGGTATCCGTCTCCACGACGTCGTAGAAGAATGCGATAATAAATAAAAAAATAGAGGTTTATTTGTCGAGACGAACTTAATATTTCGACGCCCGAAAATCACTATACTCAAGATACAGAAAATGAAGCTCCTGAAATCGAGATGATATAAAAAGCCAAAATTATATTCGATCTTCATGTAATTTGGTTTCGTTCGCTCCTGAGAGGACAAACAACGCGAAGACTGTCTCTCATCGACGCAGGAGAACTTTCGGCGACACATTGTTTTGCGGATCACGAGTACAGCTACCGAGTGACATAATTCAATTTCGAACGTGCCGCGGTAGTGCCATTATCGACCATTAGCGTATCTCCTAGCGACTACGTCGATACGACTTGCGAGATGCGGCTGCTGCGATCGTCAGCCAGCTGTCTAAATTCTAGACGAGAAGACTAAGGGAGAAACGACGACCTCGTTCGTTGAATTTTACAGTGTCCAATTATTAATAGTCGCCGGATCCACAATTGAAGGTGGATCTGAACTAAAAAGCATGAAATATGTACGCATAGTTGAAATATTTGTGTTAAATTCAACAGATGTCCACCCAAACGATCTATAGAAATGTTTGTGTTAATTTGTAATATGGATATGACACAAACACGTTAATATTTTAACGCAAAATAAATGAGAAATTTCAAGCAATTTAAAATAAATTTTGTTTAATGTAAAAATATATGTTAATTTTAGATTTTATTATCTCCACTTATAAAATTAAAAATTAACATTTTTCCTGTCAATTTTAATGACAGATGAATCTTGTTACTAATAAAACAAAACATATTTATTGTGTAAAATAAGAAATAGATGCACATTGTAGTACTTTTACATCTTTTTTTAGTTGATTTAATATTTGTTTTAGTAATTGAACATTTAAATTTAATTAATACAACAATAACCCAGGTAGCAAGCTGACATAATTAAACGTCAAAATAACGTCATTTTAAGGTCAAATGACGTTATTTTGATTTGCTACTTGGGAATATGTTACGAGTACATGAATGTGTTAAATATTTAAGGTTTTTAATAAAAAAACAAGTTTTCCTACTGTGCGTGGGAAAAATAAGCTATACATATATATACATGAGCCAAATTAAATGTTTTATTAAGCAATTTTCAAATTAATGACGCGAGTTCAATCAATAAACCTTTATATGTCAATACCGTATTATTGTCGATATTTAAGTTAATTAACATTTAAAGGTGACGTATGTACGTGTGTCATCTTTTTCGATTTATTAATATAATTTGATTCGAAATTGCATAACTCACATTTGATTATTGCATAGCAACATAATGGAGTACCTCTACCTCATAAACTGGTCGTCCCTTCGTATACAATAGATAACAAGCTGACGTCAAAAACATCAAAACGACATCATTTGATGTTTGACGTCAGCTTGTTACCTATTGTATACAAAGGAAATAATCTCATTCGGAATTTCTTTGCATTACATAATGGCACGTGTTGCATTAGATATTTACAAGAATTTATCCAAGATTATTTCTTCTTTTTATATCGATAATTTATACGTTATTATCTGTATTGATTTCTATGCTAATATATAAGTCCCAAATCCTCGCGACTAATATAGAAATATAATGTTGAACTCTTAGTAAATCAGAGGCAGGCGGTTCGATGAGCCACAGATATCGTATCGATCTCTTCATTAAAAAGAAGTGACGGTGAAGAGAAGCATTTTTCCCGTTAGACACGGCTTTTTAATAGATTACACCGAATCAAGAGACGAGATTATAGGACTTCTACCTTTAGAAAATCCTGCATTGATTTTCTGATAAATTACCAAGTTGGGATTGCAGATCCTATAAAAATATCTACGTTTCTTTAGCTACGATTCTTTATCCGTAAGTTTCTTTTTCTACCAATATAATTTGAGTTTAGGGATAATGAAATCTTAAAGTCAAAGCAACTCATTTCCAGAAAATTATAATTATAAAATAAAATATTTGTTATAATCTACAAAAAATTTAAAAAATTTATATATAATTTCTCTCATTTTTTAACTTACCACTCTTAACCAATTTGAGGAAATATCGTTAATAGTTGTTTTATTAATAGATTCGCACCTGTTGACGCACGTTAAATTATATAGTTGAGAATGTGGGCCGTCGATTTAACAGCCAGTTAGGAGTTCTTCCCCTAACTGGCTGGAAGAATCCCTAACTGCCTGGAAATTTTTTCTCGCTTAATGGGTGTACGTGGCTCGAATCGTGAAATAATGAATCTCTGTTGCGTGTCATTTAGCGTGTAGTTTAATTTTTTGTTTATTATTTATTTAGGAAAAACACAGGGTTTTTTAAATAGATATATTAATTATTCAATTATTATAGTTTGTTAAAGGAGAGTGTCAATTTTAAGTCGATTTCTGCTTATCAGAAGTAATTTTAAATGACCATAAATGTACATTATATGGGTTACCTAATATACAAAAATCATAATTATGATTGCTAGTCCCTTGGGATATTTTGAAACCCACCCTGTTGTATAGTTCAATAATTCAGTAATATACGTTCTCTAATGATGTAACTAATCTTGTTTCTGGTTTCTTTCTCGAGAAAATACATCGAAAATATATTCTCGAGTAATAAACTAGAAACAAGATTAGTTACATCATTATAACGTACTGACGAGCATTTTTACGCGCACACATGCTTTAAGCCCGTATCAGACTATGGATTAGGATTGAGATTGAATTGAAATGTAACCACTCAGAATCAAGAAAACATCTCAAGCTTGTAGACTTTGCCCTGATTGGTGAAATTTCAATCTAATCCCAATCCTAATTCGTAGTCTGATACAGGGTTTAATATGTAGACACGTCATTTTTGTTTCAACGCACACTCTGAGCACGCACGAATGCGAATCGTCGTTTGTCGGTTTATCAAAAGAATTACGTGAAAATCGACATTCAATCTAGACGCGTTGATTCATCATCATCACTAAGTATCGTGTTTATTTACCATCGTTTTAATTTTTTTTTGTTTCCTGTATATGCACGATAATATGAATTATAATACATGGTGCAGTGACTATGGTTATATCTCTTCTCGTCGACATTTTGCTATTTCCTGACTATTTTCGGCGACTTGAGCACTGTTTTGTACGCATGAGAAAATATTTTTAATGTCAAAAAAAGTTTACTCGCACGAACATTTATGCGCGCAATTCGTGCGTGCGCGTAAAAATGCTCAGTACGCGCTTTTAGAGAACGCATATATCAGTGAATTATTAAACTATACAACACACACATAGCGGTTTTCAAAATATTTCCACGAACTAGCAATGATATAATTATGATTTTTGTATATTAAGTATAATCTATCTAATGTAAATTTATTTATAGATTCTTAGAGTCTTAAAGATCTTATTGATGATATCTAAAATATGGTACATAAATCTTAAGAATACATCTTTAAAATACCTTTTAATGACGTCTTTAAGACGTCTGATTTTTCAGACGTTTTGTCCTGGGTTACTTCTGATGATGCAGAATCGATCCAAATTTGAGACCCTCCTTTATAAAGGACGCATGTGAATGTAAGAATGCAAGTAATATCTTTTTATAAAGCTCTGTCGACATACAATATAGAGGAGAAACCGGACATGTCGAAGGACGTTTGATATTGATTCTCTTCCCTTCTATTTCTCTGCCCTTTTTATTCTTCTTCGCTCAATCTACCCCTGTGAAAACGCCTGTATCGCGCTATCACGCGAGCCGGGTTTACACGTGTATCGACATTATTCGCGCGCGACCTTCCTTCTATTCTTTCCTTCTCTATTTTTTTTTCGTGCTCCACTGACCGCGAATTTTGTACGAGAATCCCATATAATTCATGCGCACGCGAGGCTCGCGCTCGCTGCCTCGGATTCGCCATTAATTCTGGCCTGTCGTTTCGTGATAAATTAACTCCGCGTATATATCGTCGCATTTATGCTGCGACGATGACAGTAACATTTCTGCCTTCATTTGCATGTCGAACGATGAACTGGCAATTTTTCAAAAGTTAGAATCGATTTTTCGCTCGACGAGGCATGCGAAACTTTTTCAAACTATCTGAAAATCTTTCGCTCTATTGTGCCGACTTTGTTAGCCGAGCGGAAAAGTATATTAACTATATATAGATACGTTATATATATATATAGCGATGAGTCTGTAACTTGTTGCGCGCATGAAAGATATAGCTCTCTCGGGAGACCATTTATTGCAAAGATCCGAATCGTGTTGTCTACGGAGGAGGGAATCGTTCAGGTTACTTGTTGCATGGAAAAATCTCGCAAGAGTGAGCGAAAGGTTCTAATATCGAAAGGTTCTCTCTCGCAGACGATCAATAACGCGAAAGCGCGCTCTCGCAATCCCTATATAAAGTTAACATCAGTCAGTTTAT